TAAAACTGCGCTCATTTCTCTATGCCTTTCATTGCTAAGATCTTTCATAAGCTTTTGTTTTTAAGTTACAAAAGTTTCAGTGTAAGTTTGGCTGCACAGTTCTGCACAGCGAAGCGATTAGTTAATGGTGATTGTATGTATCATGTATGTCTGTTTATGCATTCGCATGAGACTTGAATTTTTTACTGCCCATGCTTCTTGTATTTTCACTTGCTCTGCTACTGTTGGTTGCATCACCCGATAATTTGTTGATACTATGCAATTGTTTTGCACTGTGCTGTCATCGCGTCGTCTGTGCCATAAAATGCGCTCTTATTTTAGGATCGAATCGTTTTGTACTTGTTTCGATGTGTTGTAGTGCATGCTCATTCTTGCTTGTTATTGCACAGCAGTAGGATGAAGGAGTGAGGAAGATATGTTGCACGCTGTGTGCCCTAAGTCACAAGCCAAACAAGGTGATCTCTGTGAGCGAAGGACATGCACTTTTCTGTGCCATTTGGTCTACACCTGCTGTACGTACTTGAACGTCTGTCTTCGTCATTGTCGTGTTGAAATGCCTGATGTGTTAACCTGTGCCTCAACTATACTTCTGCACCTATATATGCAGTCGAGAGTGGTTGTAATTTCCACCGTTTGGGCTACATTTCAGCCTGTAACTTTGCGCCACCTAGTGTTGTGCCCCCTCGTCTGCTTTGCATGTGTGTGCGTGAGGAAGTATGTCCAAGCGATCTCTCTGTTAACTATATATGAGCCCATATGAAGTGTATTATACTCAATGCCTGTCAATACCAATGAGGGTCCTCTAAACGTGTGAACTTATGTCGTTGACTAAGCGCCACCGTGAGTTATAAAGCAGTTAGTGGGTCGTGTTTGTTCTAAGCTTCGTTGCCTTATACTTATGCATCATTTTATGCTTTGTGAAATATTTTCGTGTCTTATGCGGGCCACACCGAAATGGCTTTTACAGTGAAAGGTTTGGTTGCATATGTTGAAGTATGATTTTACTGCATTCAATTAAATGTTTTCTTACAGTTATCATGTAGCCTGCGATAATGTGATGCATTATTTCATGCCTACGAACTTTTTGTGTCACTTGATACTTTGTAAAGTTGTCGTACGCATATTGATTGTATCTTTGTACACATAGCTCATTTAGGAATTCGTGCAAACTTCTTCAGTTGTGTACTAGTGGACATTAACAAAAGGCACCACATTGTAACTTCACGTGTTCTGTAAGTAATGTACTTTGATGCTTGTCGTATGTTTATGAAGAATACGTTGCACGCGTTTTTACCGCTGGAGTATCTGCGCATACTGCTGCGCATCACTTGTAAGTTGTCTTCCTAGATGAGTTGCATCATCGATTCCCACTGCAGCTTTCAGCTAATAAACTAATACCCTTCTGCACAGTGTTTTGTGATAGATTTATGCGTGCGGAAACGTCAAGCAGCACAAAACTTGGTACAGGAAGAAATGTTGCGAACAGGATGGCGCTCAATTACAACTGAAGTTTGTTGTAAAAGATTCCAAGAAAGCAGTGTGGGTGCGCATGCTCCGTTGCAAACTAAGCTCGTATGTAGTGATCTGAAAGGTTTACGATATGCTATCCTTCACCGAATAGCACAGTTTTTAATCCATCAATGTGACTGGTAGAGCACTTGTGCACATATCTCATAGCATATGTATTTGGTCAGCCTCGAAAATTTCCCTCACAAGTCTCTCGCTGCAGTTTGTAACGTTTGTTGCATCATCAAACAGTAGAATATTTTAGCAAGCTGCGGAAACACCTTATGGATAGGCGGCAATACGGAACTGGCTGACGTGTGCGCATGCGCGAGCATTGTACGCGCCCACAGAAAGGAACCGTGTCGTATATCCGTAACGTGTTTCCATAGCTTGCCAAAAACCTCTAGTGTTGTACAATCGCACGCTTTGACGTGCGCAGGTAGGTGTAATTATTCTTTTTCATTCTATTTCTATTTCATATTCTGTTCTATACCGCGGCCCCTCGCTGCAGAGTGTCGTGAATTCGCAACACACCGAGAAACTCCGAGCAAGCAAAGTCACGAAATGCGTTGCCGCCTTTAATGCTAGCTGTCAAGTACTCGCCGGGAATGTAGCTCTCAAGGCGAAAGATCTAGCATCGTCTCGTGTAAAGTGTTCTATGCGAGAACCACGCGTGGGGTGTTGTACCTGATAGGGGAGAATGCAAAGCACGTGCAACAGCTCTCACTACTTCATTAATTCTCCCCTGAGTTATGCAAGCCCAATCTCCTGTAATCATCTTCATTTGGTCTGTACACACCCAAGAAGTGGCACACGGCATGCTGTGTAGTTCTGAGGTACACCTTTTGTTACGAAACCCTCGCTTCTGTGGCATTCCGCGAATTTGCGACATACCTTCGAGTAAGCATTAAAGTTGCATTTTAGATCATTTAACTGCAGAATCAATTGAAGGTTGCCGTTTAAAACTGGAAAATGAGAACATTTTTTTTTTTTCGTTTGTGGTTTCATAATTCAGGCATTAAAGGGCTAAAACCCCAATGCAAAGCTTGAGTCTTTCATTGTTTCGAACTGTAAATGATGGTATTCTTATAATAACTGTTATAGTTTCTTCCTATGTAGAGTTCTAGAATGCTGTGTTTTAGAACATGCAGTACTGTCACACGGTAATGTAATTGTTTAGCATTTCAATTTAGCAAAATTGGAAACATTTTACCACATAAATAGATAACGTAAGGCGACGTAACATTTTGCTCAAAGTGCGCACTTCATCCCATTTTATGTATCTGTCGGATATTCGTGAGAAGTCGCGTACTACGAACACTATGGACAATCAATTAGGCTTCATCGCCTAAAAAAAAAAGGACATTGTCAAATGGTGTATTACGCCCATCTTTCTTTTTTTTTTTTTTCAAGCGCACATGTGAAGATAGCAATCAGTTATACGATTTTTATTTTCGTGGCCTTTCTTCATATACGTGCATAGAGCAGCATTTGAGGCTTGTCTGTTTTACTGCACGTACTCATTGCTTTTGCAATACCAAGTGGCAGTAAATCGTAAGTGTTTAATGTTCAAAAGTGAGATAGTATCCGTGCTAGTGAGCACCAGTGATAAGTAGAAACCGAATTATAAGCAAATGCTTATTTTGTTTCTTGTGTTCCAATCGTGCCACTGTGATATGTGAACATGGTGTAGAGGCTAGAAAGGGCTGTCATATTGTTTTAATAGTGCCTATAAATGCCAATCTTCAAAATCATTGTTTATATGAACGCTATTTATCCTCAAATTTTCCTTTCTGATACAGTTCAAAACCGGTACTTATGTTACCGGGCAATACTGAGCTTTTAGAACCCTATGGGGTGCAACCTATACTCCATCTCATAAGTTCCTTTCAGCACTGTCAAGGCAACAGGACCCCTTTGCCCACCATGTTAGGGCGATTGCCCATGAGATGAAGGGCAAGCGACGTTCAGTCTGACATTTCACCTTTTTCCGGGGCATGTAGTGTTGCAAATCTTCGTGATGAGATCACGAACGCCCAGTGCACCCATTTCTCTTGCCTGCTACAAATTCCCAAACCTTGTGCGAGTTACGGGCTTCACAGACAGAATAAAAATTTACCCTGTGCGAATAAACACGGTTAATATGAGGCTAAACGACCCTTCTGGCCTGTTAGCGGTCTGGCGTTTTGTTTTTATTTCAACATACTGCAGGCTTTTCAAGGCTCATGCAAGAGTGGAGACAAGAAAATACATACTATGCATCGAAAGAAAATATATAACAGAATGACAAGAAAGAAGATACAATGTCAACAGCTCATAATTCAAATTGTACACTCTGTATTATGTTCATAAATGATTGCATGGTGTTACAGCACACAACATTGTTATCTAGTCTATTCCAATGGTGGATAGCTGACGGAAAAAGAGAATGTTTGTGAGCGTTAACACGACTGAAAGGTTGGTGGATAGTTTTAGAATGGTTCAGTCGCGATGAGTGTTTGGGCGGGTCTAGCAGGTAACGAGATTGTGATATGCAGAATTGACCATGATATAATTGGTAAATAAATTTTAGTCGCGAGATAATTCTGCGTTGCAATAGAGGTGTTAAGTTTGCCCTTGCGAGCAAGCCTGCAGAACTGGAGAAGTCTCAATATACAGATCTAACTGCCGATTTTGCCAATTCGCTCCTGTGCTGCCCTTCTTAGTCACGCGGGAAAGAAAGGGCCCCAGAAGCGTGCTTATCCGACAGTAGACACTTAACTCAACATTCTGAACAATAAAAGGAGAGGCCACATTCTGAAAGCCTGCGGAAATGAAACTGCATGGATATGCTAAGCTACAGGTGCCTTTGCACTATCATAAACTAAAACATTTCTATTTGCTTTCCTGTCGTAGACACGTACAGGTCCTGCACGTATTTCCTCGAAATTCAAAATTTTGTAAACATTTATTGGGCCTATATTTAAGATTTTTCTGGCCTAAAACTGTGTTCAGCCTGCCTATCTTGGCGCCTAAAGCTTGATTTTTTGGTGCCAGTAAATCCAACCTCTAGTGATAAGAAATGGTCCCTGTAGTGTCTCGATCGAGTTATAATCAAATTTCCAGCTTGACTTCAAATGTAATACGGGTGTTCTTCGCCTGCCTAATATCACGTGCACCTGCTGAAACAAGCAGTTCCTCGAAATGACGAGGAAGAGCGAAAGAGAGAGAAGGAAAATGACGCAATCTCGTACGATCCTTGCGGGAGTGTTGTTAACTACCACAAGAGAAGGGGAGAGGAGGGGGTGCAGAGCATGTAAAAAATAATGTAAAAGAAAAAGGTAGTTCGAGGCTAATAATCAGGCAAATGTCAGCTGTCATCTAGGCGCTCTAGATACCGTTGGTGACAGCTTCCTCTTGCTAGGAGCGTATCTGTGGGGTTAATGCACCGTGAGGTGATCTCGGAGATGACTATCTTGCTTGCTGAATCGGAAAGGAGCGATAGCGTAAGGCGGGAACACGTCGCAAACATCATACCGATAGAGGAGCCAGAAGCTCTAGAAGTGTTACACCATGAAGGCAATGAAATCCTCTGGTATTTAGCAATGATAATTTTGCAAAAACCACGCTTTGAAACACTGCTATCATCATCATCGGCAGTTTCGGCTTCCGGTATGTTGTTTGCCTGCGTAAAGATCCATCCGCAGCCGACTTCCGCTGGATGGGTCAACTGATCAAATGTAAGTTTTGTGTTCCGCTATTCATACGCTTCAATTTGCCTTCGCCCCCACATTACGCGAGCCTCGTTACGCCATTCGAAGCAACTAGGAACGTCTCGCTTAGTCCCCGAGCCTTTCTCGAGTCCCGTTGATCGGCTGTCACATCTCGCTTCTTCTATCCGCCTCCGTGACGTTTGCTGTTTCGGGGGCTAGGCCTATCGGCTACGGGCTCCCCGTCTCGAAATGCTCGCTTATCCTTCGTGTGACAAGTGTGAATGTTCATTTACCCGCTTCTCTACTGTCCCGGCGAGCTCCTGCGCTGACCGTACGGCCCGGCCAACCTGGCTGTAACGTTCATAACACGAGCAACAGCGAAGCGCCCTGGGAGAAGGTCGGGGTAATCGGCTGTACGAGACACTCTGAAAGGGGGGCCCTTCGTCATTTTGTGTGTTGATTTTCTTGCGCGACCGAGAGCTTGAGCAAGCACGAACGTGTGACTTCTTCGCGAAGGAACGCCCCGCGCGATCGAGTCAAGTGACGCCACCGTGGGACTTCGAAGAAACAACTCGGGGCGTCGCTTGGCAGGCGGGCCGTCTGCCTACAACCACAAAAGTCATCCACCCCGTGCGCACGAGAAGCGCTAATTGCAATAAAGTGTGGGCGTGCTGTCTCTTTCCGTGGGTCGCGAGCCAAGTTTTCTTTTGCGGGGCGCACCAACACGGCGACTGCTAGACTCTCGAGCAGGTGTAACAAAAGGTGGTGGGGGCTGTTGGATCCGAGCGTGACAAACGCTTCGACGTTCTTTTCCTGGTCATCGGAGACCGGCCGCAGGAAAATAATCGTGACTTGTCCTCGTCCGTGGACCCTTTTTATTGTTAGTTTCGTCCCCCCTCGTAGCCCTTACCCTCCCCCCCTCTCCTTTTCAGTCAGCGTGCGCGGTGCGTTTTGTTTATTGCAATTGGAGGAATGCCCGTTTTTCTAACCTCAACAGGGTCATAGATAGGGAGGCTCTCTTCCGCGGCTGCCTGCTCGGGTTGTCTTGCTCTCTTTTTGTTGTTTAAAAGAACGTTGCGTTTACAGCGCGACAGATGATTCGCCCGAAGTCGACGTAGTCGTCGATGTCGCGCCTCGGCGACCATACTGCTGTCGGGTGTGGAATGTCAAATCGATGCTTGTTGACTTCAGGTACGGGTGAGGATCGGAGATTCGCTACGTATGCGCAAGAAAAAAAAAGTATAAACACTTCAGAATAGCGCGAGTCGTTGTAGGGGTTGCTTTTCTGCTTTTTTTTTTCTTTCGGTCAAGCGACGGGGTAATAAGTGGTGCCTGCCGAGGACGTTCGATTTGAGAATAGCCGATCGCGATATCGTTTTGTATCTGAACATCATCGATAAATGTTACGGCGGCGGTCTGTGTGAAATCTTGGGGATGGATGCAGCACGACCTCATAGACGAGAGCGGTTGTCTAAGTTCCCTAAGCTGAAGCGCCGTTCAAAAGCCGATTAGTTCCAGCTACGAGCGAAACATGGCGAAAAATCGGGTTGAACAAAAAAAAAAAAAAAAAACGTGCAAACGTTTACGGAAAGTAGGCCTTCCTGTTTCTCATCCTGCCGGTCGTATTACTACTTTCCGCATTTTCACGTCGAAGCTGCGTGCGGGTAGAATAGAAACAAAAATTCGTCCGATGTGTGCAAGAAAAACTCCGGATGCGTACGTGCTGATGAAATTCGACAGATCCCACTACAAATCACGCTGAAATACTAAAAAAAAAAACAAAAAAAAAAGCGAACACGGACAGACGTAGCCGTGATCGTGATTACCGGTGGGCCTTCCACTGCGGCGTCTCTCGTAACGATATCATTATAGATGTTCTCAGACCATGTCGCGATTTCCAAAGTCGAATCCGCAGCAATTATTGCGCATAGCACCTCTTTTCGCCGGGTCGTGGGTTCGGTTACATTTAGGTGTACACGCATTTGTAAAAGCGTTGGTTGCGCTGTTTTGGGGGACTACGAGCCGATGCCTTAATTAGATTCGGGCCGCGTCGCAAGACGCCCATACTGGAGCAAAAAAAAAAAAAAAAAAGAGAAAAACCATGCTTCGTTTCGCTTCAGGACAAGATTACGTCTACAACTGCTGCAGAGGGAGAAAAAACGTTGCCTTTCGTGCGCGCCGAAAACATCCTTGCGAGTTTGCGAGGTAGCTGCGCTGTTTTTCATTGCTCCCTGCTTCGAACGGCTGTTGCGTTAGTCATTCGACGTACAGTGGAATTTTTTGTATTTATATATAAGCTGCGGTGATGACGTTCGCGCTGGGGGTGTTTCGTATCGCGCTAGGGGTGTTACGTATCCCGCGGTATGCGAGCCGTCATACTAAAAATTGTTGCGCGCTCGAGGCACACGATAAAAAAAAAAAAAATGGGTTGGTGACGCACAGGACGACGTGCCATTGTCAGTGAAAAAAAAAAAAAAAAAATGGTGTCCGCTATCAACAGCCCCGACCGACTTGCCCGTCGTTCGTGTTCACATTTTGTAATACTTTTCTAACAAGCGTAAAAAAAAGTCCGTTGAGCCACTGCGTTGTATTCCGGTCGGCCTGTGCATCGTTTAACGTACGTAGCGTTACATTTTACGCACGTTTTGTAGTCAGGAAGTGTGGTTTTGATGGTGTTGAGCGTGATGGCATCAGTTTTGAGTTCCGCTTTTGTGGTCGGTGTGGTTTGATGACCCGTTCGTGATGGCATGTGATAGTGTTTCATGTCACTCAGTGTGTTGTGCTCCGAGTTTTACTGAGACATTGCTTGACTTTTGGAGGTGTCCACCGCAGCGAAGCGTGTTTGGTGTGGTGCTGTGCGATAGCTGATAGCTGTTGCGTTTATCGCATTTTTAGAGGTGATCTTATAGCCGCTCCGGGTGCCTACAACAGTGCGTGAATGGTGTCGAACTCGAAAGCGGCGCGTCAGTTTTTGGCAGGCATGTGAACGTGACACATTTTAGCGACAGAGAAAGAGAGAGAAGTAAAAGAGTCAGGTGTTTGGGCTGATTGAGATCATGGGTTTCATAAGTAATCGAAGCTTCGCTGATGACTTGTTTTCTTTGTTTTACCCGTCGCTTGACCTTGTTGTATTGATTATTCGCGACCTTCGCTGCTGCCCGGCCGGATTTTTTTTTTGTATTGTTATCAGATAAGCCCTGGTATGCCGTTTCCCCGGTCGTTCAGTGTGAGCTTTTTTGACCTGTGTTATCTGCTGAGCTGAAAATGAGAGGGGGGGGGGGGGGCGTGATGGAAGGCTTGTTTTCGTTAATTAGACACATACTAATGACACCAATGGACAGGGAAGTTTAGGAAGGTACAGGGACATTATTGGTATATTTTAACTGTACTCTCCTAATTACAACGAAAATGGAAAGGAATTAAAGTCAGTGGAAAATTGTCTCACCGCAGGTAAAGACGGAATGACAGCTTTCTCTTGTTGCCGACCGCAACTAAGTGTTCGACACTCGCCGTCATGGTTGCGAGAGACCCTGGCCAACACTGGCAGGATTTCACGAACGTGAATGCCCAATGAAGTGGACAAGAAAGCGTCTGCCACTGTGGCTCAGTTGCTAGAGCATCAGGCGCGTTATCCAAAGGCTGTAGGTACGGTCCTTCTATGCGGCAAGTGGCATTTCTCATGCGCTTCTATGGCTACACTTAAAACACATTTAATATTCCCTATACCTTCCTTAGCTTCGCAGTCCATTTAGTTAGGTTGTTTATGCTGAGCTGCGTGCCTTTCGTCCATGCCGTGAGCTGCGTGCCAAGTTTTTTGTTGGTTGTAGCACGATGCACAACTATGCTACATGCATGCTCACTTTGTGATATGAGCAGTTAATCTTAACCCTACAGCTGTGACAGGACTCCCACGTAGTGTGTGAGCCTTTAGTGTGTGTTCGCTGTAAATCTATGGACATGAAAGGAAAAAAAAAAAATGACCCACCTTTATGTGTTTGTGTATGAAAATGTGGAGTTTTTAAATAAAACTGTTGACACAGTGAAAACCTAATTAGCAGATTGAGGGACACAGGTGCCGTAAAGAAAATTGTTCTGTGTTTATGAACTACTTTCAGATGATACTCGTTTTTGGAGCAAAGAGGATACCTTTAGCTTCTTTTATGATAGGCCATGTTTTTGTCTACAATGGACAAAAATGGGCATCTGTGGCTTCATCGATTTGGCTGCAGCAAAGCAAGTAGTTTCTCTTCCGTGGTGTCCCATAAAATTAGGAGGAGGGGAGGGGGGGGGTCGTTAAACAGATAGTCTTGCTTCTGAAGCCAACAGTTCCGTTCTTTGGAAAAGGGCAGCAGTACTTTTGAAACGAAATGCAGCTGGATTAGACAGAATACACTCGCACACCACATGTGGGCGACACGAAACTGTCACTTGCTAGCACAATACACAGTATTGCGGCAGCTGGTGACCTCCCTGGCTGCTTCCGCACGAGCTCAGGAGGCTTTCTCTTCGATCTAACTGTTCTGCGGAATTTTCGATTACATGTGCCTTGAATAGGAGATTTTCCTAATCTGCGAGTGCGCTTCTCTGCTATGCAGTTTGTCTTGCTCATGGAAGCTATTCTTACTAATAGCAATGTATTCGAGTACAGTTTGCTTGCGCTGTGATGTGAAAAATGTTGACTCGGCTGTCTTGATGTAGATTCGAATAATAGACAAGCCTGAGTATGTGCACACGGGAACTCGTTTCCGCTTGCCGTTAGTAGGGCGAATGTGAATTGTCGAGAAGTGCACTTGCGGATAGGGAAAAAATCTCCTTTTTTGAGTAGTGAAAGTCCAGCCCACCTACTTCCCCGTCCATTCTAAAGCCGTGTAGGGTGACTAAGCTCAACTAGACACAGTGGCTTAGAAATCAGTGGTTTCATATTAGAACGCCAGGGGAAAAATCTGCGGCTAGTGTCTGAGGGAGCTGCAACACACGACTCTTCAGCCAGCATGGGAATGAATTTGCCTGAGCTTCATTCTCTCGGCCCCGTGTGTCCTGCTGCTGTGCTTTGTTGCGAGACGAAGTTTTGCACTTCCACCTCATCGCCTCGGCCATTTCGGGCGCACCAATTCGAATCGGCTCACGAGATTCACAATCGGTCATTTTTTGATCCGAGACAAAAGCCAAGACACTACAATAAGCATGGTCACAAGTACCCCTGTGTGTCGTCTTCATGTTCCCGTCTTCGTGCACTTACCAGTTTCATAATGTCACGAGTGCATTCAAAGTCGCATGTACTGTACTTTGTCACCACCAGAGACAAAAAAAATATATAAGCCTCGCCCACAGAACCGCCGTGTGCTGCTTTTCACATTCGTGCCAGCTGGCTTCCGCTCAAACCGTGAGTGCTTGTTCATAGTGAATGCGAATGCTACGCATATGAAGAGTTAAATGCTTGTCATTCTTATTTGAAATGTTACGTTTGGATGAGCAGCACTGTCAGAGGCTCTGACAAAATTTACTTGGAGGTTCAAGTTGCATGGCAAGAACCAGCAACACAAATGCTTATCTGTATGAGAAAGTCGACTGCCTTAAACACTCAGAAGTGCTTGATGTCATAATAATGAGTAAGCGCTTTTGGATGTAGCTTTATGTACATGAATTCTATTTGTGGGAGGAATAGCAACAATGGTTGGTGCCGTCATTTCCTTTTTCTTAGAAGGTAAGCAAGTATTGGCAAATCTGTGCTCTACCGATCATTCTGATAGTGGCCGACCTGTCGCAGCACCATAGTTTCCCCCAGTAAATATTGTGGGAAACTGTGTTAGAAATAATGCATTGAGGCTGATGTGTTGCTTCATATGCAAGGTTTGGCGCCAGGTCGTGCCAGCCCTGCTAACATTTTGTGTATTCCATCAGTTAACGGCCAAGGGGTTCAAGTGCGAAATACTGTAAGGTATAGTAGATAGTCGTTCCGAAGGTATTTAAAGGGCTCCTTAACCATTCAGAAGTCGAAACTTAGCTGTGTTGTTTCAGTTATGCATGAGTCGACGACGAAAGCTTTGCCCTGAGAAATTGTCAAAATGTTGCCATAACAGGAGAGTTGCTCGGGTTTGATGATACAAAAGACGCCCGCTCTCGTTCTGTACTTTCATTCGCTCGTCTCTCCTCGTGGAGGACTGTTAATCCTCGCTGGGCTAGGAAAAGCAGCGAGCTACCGTACGTGCTAGTGTACCGACAGGTGTGCGGATGATATGTTGATGTGATGGCAAAAGTTCAGGAAATGAGGAATGCCGAAAGGCATGAAGAAGATCGGAGAATGTTTCGTCAAATTTCCTGGGTGCCCGTGGCTTCTACCGGTACAGCATTCGACGCCGTTCATCGTGATGGCGTTCCGAACTCGATGCACGCGTTTACTCGAAATGTGGTGGTGGTTTTGAGGTTCTGTACATGCCTTGTGTGTTTCTCATTTCACATTACTTGTATTTAATTTTTCGAGCATCTTTGGCATAATTTTATGATACATTTGGACCTACAAACAAAGGTTACTGAAAAGGTAACATGAAATTGAAGTTCAATTCGGCAGCTATAAAAAAATGCTATGAAAGGTTGCAAAGTATGTTGCAAGGTACAACGCAGGTAATCTCTGTACATATTAAAAAAAAAACAAAAAACCTTGAAGCTTTAGATGTCCAGTAATTCTAGCTGGATTTTGGATTGGGTCTTTTATTGTCTCATTTAGAGCTGGTTCGAGCGTGTAGCAAAACTTGGTTTTTGTCTTATGCGACGTTGAAGCATTGCTGGAAAACACCCCAAAGACTACCTAGAATAGAATGTCAAATCACTTTCTTTTTTTGAATGTGCTTCCCACGACCGTTCTCCGAGCAGTGTGCATGTTCTGCATCTCGCAGGTTGTTTCCTGCCAGGCCACCACTGTGCTTCGTGCCACTGACGCCTCTCCGCCTACCACCGTGTCGCCACCCGGTCGTCGTCGCGTGACATGCTGTCCCGGCCGTACAGTTGACGGCGACCCCTCGTCCCCACTCATATATCTGTGACCTCTTTCACACCCTTCCCCGCCCCTGCGATCTCGTCGCTGGCAGTCAAAATTCCGAAGCCAGGCCCAGGCTCTTTTCGGAGGCGAGATCAGTGGTGCCCCGAACTGTGAGTGCGAATCCTGCCCTCCCAACCAGAAATTCACGTATTTGTATCCGTACGTCGGCACAAAGTGCTGCTGGGAACATCAAGCAAGGTGCGCTCGTCTTGCTTCAGAGGCAGACCACGTCGAGGATTGCACCTTTTCGAGGTAAAGGTAAGGCAGAGTTTTGTTTTATTATTTCCTGTCACGGGCCACTGGGGGGACGGGCGGGGGAGGTGGTACAGTTTTTTTTTTCAGTATTACCACATTTCGTTGCATTTGTAATTTTCCGGGTGAAAGGGGCCAGTCAGCTGTGAAATTCACCATTGTTTCCTTCACACCAAACCTTGTTTTATATACTGTATTTTCTCGAATGTATCGCGAGTATATTTCCAGAATGTTGCTACCTGAAGTCGACCCCAATGTTAGTCTAATACTAATACAGATATTCAAGTTATCTAAAAGTGAAATTATGCACACAATTCTTTTATGTTTGGTTTAGTTTTGTTCTTCTTGGGACGTTCCCCTCACACTTCAATTGTCTTCACATTATAATAGAGTAAGTACAGTGCTGTACTCTTGTGTAACTGCCACGTGACTGAATAAGCTCACACTTCAACTCAGATGCGAGTGCTGGGATAAATTTATTCCGTTAATTTGCTTTTCCTCCGGATCATTTCGACCCATACAGGAGAGCAAGGACAGCACTATCCAACAGTATCAATACAGAATAGGAACGCCACGTGGGTTGAGAAAGGGAAGTTGAGAACCATGCCATTTTTAGCACAAAGTCGCAATTAAATCTGTACGGACTTTTCAGAAAGAAAGGTTCTTTGGCAGAAAATTCGTCGTCTGGGGAAGAATTATTACATGGTCGGTACAGTTTAGTGTCATCCTTGTTTAACACTGTACTTCTAGTTTTTCTTTTTGCATTGTTCCTCTCTCAGTTAAACATTGTTTTCTCTTTCCTCTCCCGATATCCAGCAATCAAGACCTGGTGATCAGGCGCCACCAACCCTGATGCTTGCTACACCCTGAAATCGCCGTCCACGCTCCGTGTCGCTGCCGCCCTTCTCTTGGGAGACGCGGCGAAGAAGTACGTCTGCCCCCACCACTGGACTTGCCGTCTTCTGGACTGCCTCCGAGCAGCTCTCGCGTGTGCTGATTCCTTCCCCATCAGCGTTGTTGCCGTCAGTTCGCGTGCAGAGTTTCCAACCTGAGTACGAATACGTAAAATCCACGAAGCCATTAAGACGACCACTCTAGCCGACAAACGTTGCAGTGTTGTCACCTTGCCCACAGTGCATCGGTGGCACGTTTCACCATAGCGCGTCGACAGTCCGTGACTCATTCCGCTGCGGTGCCTCGTCGTGCTGGCCCCGCTGCTTGTCTTAGCGCCCTACGCCCGAGGAGGGTGATACCGTGCCTAAGAACGATCTACGGCAGCTTCACGTGTTCATGATGAATGTGCACGGCCTCAGGCGCAACGTCAAGAATGTGGTGCGTAACTACTCGGACGCCCAGGTCAAAGTTCGCGAGGCGACCTCCAACGACCCTTGGGGGCCCCCCTCGACCCTCATGGGCGAGATCGCCGACCTGTCGTACAATGTGGTCGCCTTCACGGAAATCATGCAGATGATCTGGAAGCGGCTCAACGACCACGGCAAGAACTGGCGGCACGTCTACAAGGCACTGGTGCTGCTGGAGTACCTCATCAAGACCGGCTCTGAGAAGGTGGGTGGGCCATGTTTTTTCGCTGCTGGTCTGCGAAGGTTGCGAGTTAGGTTTCCGTGGCAGGGATTCAGTGACACTGTTGACAGCAGAAGCACTTGCGGCAAAGCGTGCGACTTGCTGATAATTTGTTGTGGTCGGAATTTGCTCAACTCTTTTTGTACTGTGTTGGCAAAATGTGTGTTCTTGTAGCTGGCATCAAATTCTTTTTGCTAAAGTAATTACCACACCCTATATATTATGCAATACATAAATGAAAAGCAGAACAAACTTACTTTTCATGCACTTGAGTTCAATTAACGAGGTATGGGTTATGCTAGCGATATGAAGAGCCACATTCAAGGTTGCGGGACAAAATTATACAGAACATTAGAGACACGTTTCTTTCTACAAAAAAAAATATAGCAGAATTGACGATATACTCAAGATGTACTGCCATTTAATAGGCACCGTTTCTGCAAAATTTCAACTTCTTTGTTGAACAGGAATTCTCCGACAGAAAATTTTGTTCAAGATGAGCGTGCTATATGGCAAAGCAGTGAACTCTTATATCCTGCTTGGCTTTCAAGTCGGACTCTCCTTTCTCGCAGTTTCAATAAGTTTTAATTCTGACAGGTAACTGCTGAAGCGCGAACTTGGACTGCCCGAAGCAGAAAGGGAAGCTGGCCGATGTTTTGGGCTAGTTTGTTTTGCATCATCATCGTTCCCATAGTCAGATAGCATCCTCAGACTCGAAGGCGGCATGCTCAGACTCTTTGTTGCACGCGGGATAAAAATAAACTTACACACACACAAAAAAAACTATTGGTCTTCTTTGGGACGAATGGTGCATTGTGTTCTCGAAAAGTGCAGACTGTCGACAAAGCTCCAATTCAAGCCGTTTGTTTCGAAAAGCTGTCGAAACCGGGCTTGAAAAGTGTTGTTGAAAAGAGATGCTTCCTAGTAAATTATAAAAGTACTATCACACGTCCTAAAAGCGTAATCACGCAGGAGTGCCATATTTCGTGCCAATTCATTCCATCTCTCTATGTTATCGTTGGGCCGTCCTCGTGTATCTGGCAGTAACATCTATGCAGCAGTGTCGAGACAATGGCAAAGGTCCAAGGAAACAAAAGGAAACAAAAAACTCAAGTAGGGCCACCACATCTGCTAATTACGCTGGCAACAGATGCGGCCGAGCTCCTCACGCTAGAATTATTGTTTCGGCTTTATCATGCTCCAAGCTCGTTATTCTTCAACTGGAATTGTCCTGATTTATCTCAGCATTGTGTGGCCAGGTTATAGACATGTGTCACGTTACTTTTTTTTGGCTGACAGCTCTCTGGGTCACTGCCTTCCGATGTGATGGGCTCAATAGCCTTGTTCGGCGTGTGTCTGTACTGCTCGAGAGTAGCTGGGTTATCGACACATGCATAACATATTGCTCAAACGTTTTGAAGGTTGTTATTCATAAGTGTTTCATTGTGTGACTTTTTTTCATTGTTTCCGAGTGGTTGCCATCTTATGTGACCAGCTCAGTAGTTTCGTTTGTTGGCCAACTGCAGCAAATGAAAGCGGCTCTGCCATTGTAATTGCCCGTTTCATAATCTAGGATCGGCAGCTGTGCACATTGGCGTACTTGCCTCATCAAATTAGATGAGTGGTCTGAAGGACGCAACAAGGAGTTGTGGGGCAAGTGGCAGGCTTTGACCGTCAAACGGCTGTCAAACTGTCAAGCAGTTCCTGTCTCGTGACATTCACTTCTTTGTGACGAATTGTGCATGGTGCTTTCTCCACTGGCAACACTGATTTTGCGTAGCTTGGGCAATTTGGTCTAGCATTTTAACAATTTTACCTTTACATTTTTTCAGATCTGTAGTGTTGAAGTGGTTATTTTTTTGCACTTTTGTTCAAATTTGGAAGTTTAATTACAGTATAGCTTAGTTAGATAAGCAGGAGTTGATATTTGCTCAAGAAAGAAAAAAAGAACAGAACGAAAGTGCTTGACATAATTACAGTTGCATGGTTCTTTTTCTCCTTCTCGTCTCTGCAGTTACTTGGTCTCGCACAGTCAAGCGTGCTTCTACAAAACTGTGCTTTTTCAAAAGGTCACGTTTTTTATTGTAGATCTCATCTTACACCTGTTGTAAACCCTACACGGGTCATTTACCGATATTTTCTTTTTCTTCAAGTGGCACAGACTTCATTTTCGAGTTACTGTCGTGTGATGAGAGCATCCGTACATTCCTTTCTTCGCCCTTTAATAGGGGCAGTTGGATTCGATCACTAGCCCCTTTTTTTTCTGTATTTAGTGGACTGCGCAAAGCTTATTGCTGCCACTGCTTTCCTCGCGCATGCGGAAGCTCACACTTCCCGTGGATTGAAATTTCGGGGCAACAAGAACACCTGCATTGCTGCGTTCTACAGGTTTCTTTCGCCCACGTACGCCCGCAACAGGTGTTTGTTGGCCGCGTTACCAAAGGCCGTGGGTACGTGGGTGGGTTTCCTGTATTGAAGCGTCTACATTGGTGCAGGATGTGCACTTTTTTTTTTTTCGTACGCATGCATGTGGTGTAGTGGTCTGCTTTCCAGGAACTTCTCGGAAAGTGCTCTAGTGTGCATGCCCAGGTGCATTGTAGTTGGAGGGCTGCGGGCCAATTTCAACCATGTAGTGCTCTTGCGCGTCTACACCGCACAGTTGTGACACTCTACATTAAAGTGGCCCTGAAACGCTTTTTCAAGTAACAATGGAATGAATTCACTGGAAAAGCTTATTGCCTCACGAATTCAACACCGCAAGAATTTTAAGATTCTGTCAAGTGCGAGTGGAGTTACAAATGTTTGTTGCATGCTGCAATCGCTATCTCTCTTTTCTCGCCCCGACGAAAGTGCTGGAAGCTAAGCAGGGAGGGATGGCAGGGCTGCAGAAAAACGTCGCACGCGCCTCGTGGCTTTGAGCACTTTTTTTGTTTTTTGTTTTCTTCGAATCGTCGCTTTTTCGGTGTGATTGCGCCCGCACGCTTGGACAGGTCGCAGCCTCCCACGGCGGTCTCTGTAATGAGCAAGCGCGCCATGTTCAAATCAGCCAATTGCTGATAGATGGGTAATTCACGTGTGATTTTTGGGCACATTCCGTCATTTGTCGAGAGAAAAGAAAGCAATTTTTAGCTGACCTAAGTAATTTATTGTGAATTCCAGGCCGCGTGCTGTGCTTTAATATTTGGCTCGCGTGTTGTAGGTATCCTCTACTACCGAGCGGCTGCGTTTTCTGGCCATGCTCAAAAAGTGTTGCAGGGCCCCTTTAAATGCTCAAATTGTTGAGCTGTGTAATGTCACACTTTTTGGAACTGCAACCAAAAAATTCTCTTCAATAGACACTTGCTCTAATTGTTAAGCTAGCTTTCCTGTGATGCAGTTAGCCCAACTAATGGTGGCTGATCACTTCTGCGAACAGTGCATTTAAGTGCAGTTTGCTACACTGTTTGCTTGTTCTATGATGTGGAACATCTTGCAGCCGTCTTCATATAAACACGCATAATAGACGGGCCCCAGCACATACAGTCAAGACCTCTTTTTCAATTTAAAGTGCAACTCGTGCCACCACCATTAGTTAGGTGAATGTTTAGCATACGGAAGCACACTTGCAGATATTGAAAGTATCTATATTTGAACATGATAGTTGGTCTGCATTGATTTCTCGATGACAAAATGGCGGGAGTAAAGCAAGTTCAGTTGCGATTGCAGTGCTGTGTGTCTTTTCCCTCGTTTTGCCTTTGTCTCTGTTTTTCTTCAAGAAATGAGCATGCACCAATGCACCCAACTTGCCAGTTCAACTAACATGGTTGCTGAGGGGTTCACTGTGTGTCCCGATGCTGTCACAATGCTGCAACAATGTGGCACCTGGGCAAACTCCTCCGGAATGAGCCACCCGGTGCCTCCGCTGCTCACCTGTGGGGCATAAGAGAGGTGCTGGCTGCTGCGCAGGCAAATTATTGTATTTCAGTCTCTTGGCATGGTGCAAATAATAATGTAGTTGCTGAAGGACATATCCGATTGTAACGCCCTTGTCTTTTTGCGGTTGCAGGTGAGCCAGCAGTGCAAGGAGAACATCTTTGCGATCCAGACGCTGAAGGACTTCCAGCACACGGAGGACAACAAGGACCAGGGGGTGAACGTACGGGAGAAGTCCAAGCAGCTGGTGGCCCTGCTGAAGGACGACGAGCGGCTGCGTGCCGAGCGCACACGCGCCCTGAAGGCTAAGGAGCGGTTTGCGCAGGCCACGGCCCGCGTCGGCTCCGAGGCCCTGGCCAAGGTACGCTGGCTGCTGCTAACCGCTTTCGCTGTGCTCTGAAGTATATTGCTGCAAGTGCAGTCTCCTCATGCGTTCCTCCATTATGTGCAATCGCGCATACAACATTCTGGTATGCCCCGCCGCGGTGGTCTAGTGGCTAAAATACTCGGCTGCTGACCCGCAGGTCGCGGGATCAAATCCTGGCGTGGCGGCTGCCTTTCCAATAGAGGTGGAAATGTTGTAGGCCCGTGTGCTCAGATTTGGGTGCACGTTAAAGAACCCCAGGTGGTCGAAATTTCCGGAGCCCTCCACTACGGCGTCTCTCATAATCATGTGGTGGTTTTTCGGACGTTAAAACCCACATATCAATCAACCTTCTGGCATCCGATGCCAGCAGAGGGTCTACAGCGGGTATTCTCAATCGTGGGCGTCCCAGGGGCCCTTTGTGGACCGGTGGAAGTGGTGAGGATCCTCTTGCAATAAAAGGAGGGGGGGAACGGATAGAAAATAACCCAGCACGCAGCCTGAAATACCGTAAAATACTAAGCAAGCGCACTCCTCATCCCTTTGGTGAAGTATTGTCCGTCTGGTATAGGGGGAGAGGGTGTTTCTACGTGCATGTACATGTACGCGTTGTTCGTTTCCACAAATGGTTATTGATTGCTCCTTTTTTGCGAGTTGTCACGGCAAGCATCGGCAACAGCTAGTTGTGTCGTCTTCTACGCTTGTAAAACAGCTATCCACTTGCCTGCTTTCATTGTATTTCTTGAATTGCAGTTAAATAACGGCTTTCTTTTTTGCACGTGTGACCCAAGTTCAGCGTACAGATCAGTGTTTTACAAATGTCGCATTGACAAACTAGGCTCGTACAGAGCCCTTGATGGATGAAACTGTTAAAGAAAAGACGAGCCGCCGCCTAGTGGCGAAGCCCGCCGTCGACGTCTTCATTATTCGAACAAATAACTCTACGTGCATTTTCTGGCGTTTTTATCGCATTGATCTCCTCATCCTTTTGTGCATTCCGTGCTACATAGGAGTCTCAATCCGGCCTCGCGCTTAAGAGGGGGTTGCACTTGTGTCTGGCATCACAAGATGCTCCTTCATTGTCGCGAATTGTCTGCACAGCAGTCAGGCAGTGGTGACGTTACGATCTGCCCTTCTACTTTGAGATTGGCAGTTTTCCAGACACTGTGACAGCAACTGAAGGCAGTCGAACGCATGTGTACATGCATGCTTCTCCGTGTGTCTTTAAGCTCAGATGCAAGTTTAGTCGCACCTGCCAGTGCACTGCTGTGTTCTCGTATGCAGCAGCGCACGGGCATGCATGCAGGCAAACATGTGTTGCTCTTAAGGGGAGACGCTACTCGAAAACACTTTCTCTTTAGTTTTCAAGTTGGGGTTTCCAAAATTTAGCCACAGTGATATTTTTTCTTGTAGATTCCAAAACTGTTATCAGATTTTGTGTGGCCTCATTACTTATAAAGCTATTGTACATGCAATAGCAAAAGAAAGGTATTTTTATTCTCGCTTTTTCGACACCAAAACTTTTCTGTAGATGTTTGTGTATTAACTTATTATGGTTGTCATGAACTACTGTGTGCATTTAAGATGTTAAAATTATGCGAAAAAAAAAAGCTGTTACTACAAAAAATGAACAGATCTGCCAAACTTCTTTTTTTCAGGGTTCCTTGTATCATTTCTTAGTACGTTTTTATTGACAATGGCTATGTATCATAAATCAGAATAGATAACGGCACTATATACACCTTGAAGAATGTGTGTGCCAAGTTTCATCGCAATAGGACAATTTTAAAGGGATGAAACTATGTGAGTGAAATGTGACCGTGGTCAAACATCTCAAAATGAGAAAAACACGTTTTAATGTTTGAAACATGTTTACTAATTAGGGTGCACTTGCAAACACTCAAAAGTGTCTTCAATGCACAGGTAGTATGTCCAGGAGCTGGCCACGGTGACTAGAATTCACCAGCACTGTATGTAACTCCTTCGCGGTCCTTCCGAGCGGAGTCCTGTAGGCAAGCTCTCGTGGCCGATGCGCGGCGGTGAGCCCTCGCCTCAGCAGTCTGTTGGGCATTCATCTTCTGAATGCGCCTCTTGTCGCTGTAGTCCCCCAGGGTGGTCAAGCTTGCTGGTGGTAGAACACCAAGCTCCTCCAGGACCACCTCGAAGCTTGCATGGCCCCGGTTATACAGTAAAAGCTCGTTAATTCGGATAATTCGGACGGCTCTATTGGTCCCGGCCAAGGTGCATGTTAATCTATGGAACCATACCTTCGTTATTTCATCGGAATTCGGCTCCGCACAGCTCAATTCGGACAAATGCTGACGGCTGCTGCTACACAAAAGTGTGATAAAGCAGCGCTGGCACCACTGGAGTGAAACCAAAACCTGAGTGGCATCGCCATCATCATCAACTAGCGGGGGCGATCTCAGCGTAACCGAACGTCGGCGTCTTCTTTCTTCTCCACTCAGCGCCCCCGACACCATTTTCCTTTGTGTTGTCGTGTCGGAACCATCTCTTTTTACGGAGTTTTCTTTTCTTCCATTGTGACCGTATTTGCATGTCACCACCATCGTGCGCTACAGTGATGGCAACGCCGAAAAAGCGGCAGAGTCCACCGACCGAGTCCACCGACGATGACTGCCCGACTTTCGATGCTGTCCTTCCCACAGATGTGACCTTTCAGGACTACATCGTGTTTGATCATGGTGTCGCCACGAGTGGTCTCCTGACCGATCAAGAGATTATTAATGATGTCACGGGTGCCCATGAAGACCACGATTCCGACGAAGAATCATGCGAGAAGATACAGCCGCGACCTCATCGCACCTCACGGGAAGTCTCGGAGGCGCTGTTATTATTGGAGGATGCTTGCCTGAACACTCCCGACAGCTTGCGTGCTGTTGGCCATTTGGAACAGTTAAGAAAAATTGTGATGTCAGCCGGAATCTGCGCGAAAACGCAGACGACAATTACAAAATACTTCAACAAATAAAGATATGCTTCTGCAGCTTGATTTTAAATGTTGTTTTCCCTGTTCATTCGTTAATTTGGCATTCGGTTAATTCGGACAGTTTTTCTGGTCCCGTGAAATCCGAATTAACGAGCTTTTACTGTACCAGAGCACAGTAATGGCTGTGGCAGTCTCCACAGCACTTCGGGAAGCATTTGTTTTTGGGCACAGCAGCCACACCTTACTGTTGAAAGACTTAGCAGCGTTCCGAGTTTTCCCTCGAAGGCATTGGGCCAGCAGCTTCTCGTCAGAAAAGCGCTTGTATATGGGCAGCAGTGCCCGGCCCTGTGCTTTTGTCAGAAGTGGTGTATGCTGTAGTGCAGGCTCGTCCATTGCTTCAGTACACCAGGATTCGTGGCCTTGTGGGCAGAAGTTGTGGCTGCCAGCACCATTAGTGGAGCAAGAGTGAAAGTAGGACGCCCATACGGCAGTGTACATGTCCCGTAGGTTGCCTCTATTGCCCGTGATGGCGATCTGATATGTCTGCAGCTTTTCAATGGTGGCCGGCTTGAGCTTCTCGCCTCTGGGCAGTGGTGTCTGCAATTTGCATATGCCAGTGCCTAGGCGCTTCGCAACATAAGTGCAGTCCTCCTTGCAGATGGCACCTGCACCGTACACCTTGGCATCACAAACTCCGTTATATGCTTTGCTGTCGCCATTACTAAGAAATGTTGTGAAGCGAAGTGGAGTCTCATACAGCAAAGTGCGCTCCCATATCCGTAGTGCTGCTTCAGCTTCCATGCCATGAGCGGAGCTATCGATGTTCTCACAGACAGGTCTGTGGTAGGCCTGCCAGATTTCCTCTTCAGAGCCCATGTTGTTGTGTAGACTGCAAGCATGGCAGTAATTCGACAGGACTTCGAAATCTAAGCACAGGCCGGTGTCCAGGGAGATAGCCGCGCCAACTCCGTTGGGGCTTTTATGGCCCCGTTTCTGCCATACATTACGTCATACATTACGGCCACGTCACTACCATCAACCACCTGCTTTGTTACGGCTCTTGCTTGGTTCAAATTTTCGGTTACGGCCCTCATAGCAGCATCGTAAACCTTCTTGCTGATAGCCTGGAAGGTTTTGTGGTGCATGGGCTTCGCTAGTCCAACAATCGCACAAAACCACGAAAGCTGGTCATGTCCGATGCCTATGGCACGCGAGGCTACAACAGCTTTCACATTAGCCGCGAAGCTATCGCGCGAGCTGCCGTTGGCGTAGTGCCTCACCTCCGCGCAGTCGTCAGATGCTGCGGCGGCTTCGCCGGAGGCAACACGCCTCGACGTATGTGTCGAAGAGAGAACACCAGACACGCACTCACTGTTCTTACACCACAACTCGAGACAGGACGACAGTCCTTTGCGCCGTTCTGCCACCTCGCGAACAACAAGTTTGTGTTCACGGCAAGACGGGCACTCTGCTCCACCCACAAGTGTCGTCATCGCATCGATGTCGCACAGCACTGCTGATGATACGCCATCACGCGCATGCCTTTGGTTCTTCTAAAAAAACTCCAGTTTTCTTTTGTGAGACGCTGACGAAGTTTGCGACAGCGTCGAGGCCGCCGGCGAAGTCACTGTCGCGATCGTTGCCGACGCTGGGGTTAGGCCTAGACCTCTCCGGGCCGTTCACCTTTGCCACAGTCTGACGACGCACTTTACGACGTTTTCCCACATAGTTGTTTATCGTCCGGTACTTTTTCACTTTGTACACCTGCTTTCTGGCAGGATTCATCGCGTAACTAATTGAATAAATTCTTGCGAAGTTCAGCTTGCCATGCAGCGCGGGGCCGAAGGGACAAGCGGGCGCTGCGCTAGCCAATGGCGCGCTCGCTACGGCACCACGTGACGCGCCGCGCGATTTAAACGGCATGCAGGGGTGTTCAAAAAAGGCTTTTTTATAGTATATTTTTCTTTCCGGACGAGACTTTTTGAGCCTGTCTTCGAGAGAGCATGGACAACTCTACCCACCTCGGTGATTACAAATGGCGCACGGTGCCGCTGCCTCGAGATACCGGTGCCGGGAAAACGTCGATTTCGGCAGATTTCAGCGATTTTCTAGGTCTTCGGGGCTTACTTGAATGCATTTTTCAGTAACTTCTGACACAAATTATCGATTGAAATTTATTTCTGGTAAACATGAATGTTTAAAGAATCTAATACGACTGAAAACAAAGAAGTGAAAATTTCCAAAAGAAACGCAATATTTCCACCCGCGTCTCCCCTTAAGCGGTTAGCAGATAGGTTAGCCTCTATGAGACTCGGTCGGGGATTCATCGCAGCTTATCTTTAACGGTTCACTATAAATAATGATAGAGTAAAATGGTGTCTTTTTGTCTCACAACAACAATCGTCATCCGGCTTGCTTGCGCTTCCTTTTTTGAAAACTTACCGCCGGCCTCTTTCCTGTCAAGAACGCTATGTCACGCTGATAATACGCACGTTGTTCGCGCGTGGGGATTATGCAAGGAAAGGAACGCAAGACAGATGACGATTATTGTTGCGGGACAAATAGACGCCCTTTTTACTTGGTGATTTCTTGGAGTGTTAGTGCACATGAAGTGTGTGCAAATCAGGTAAGTTTTACCATAACACGAACAGTATGTGAGAGCCAGCCAGCCTTGCCACAGTATCAAGATTACTCTGGTGGTGCACGAGTCTCCCAATAAACGGAACCTGAAGAGACAAAAATATGCTTCATTTATCAGGAACGCCATGTACTGGGAGAATACAAGTATGAAACCAACCGTTCAAAAACATTAAAGACATTTCAAGACATTAAAGACAAATACATTTTTGTTTACTGAGAGTCTACTGCGTATAATGATTGATTGATTGATATGGGGGGTTTAACGTCCCAAAACCACTATATGATTATGAGAGACGCCGTAGTGGAGGGCTCCGGAAATTTAGACCACCTCGGGTTTTTTAACTTGCACCCAAATCTGAGCACACGGGCCTACAACATTTCCGCTTCCATCGAAAATGCAGCGGCGGCCGCCGGGATTCGATCCCGTGGCCTGCGGGTCAGCAGCCGAGTACCTTAGCCACTAGACCACAGCGGCGTGTCGTAGATGCGATATTGAAAGGCTGAATGTTCAAGTAAGGTTTTTCCGAACACCTGCATGATAATTTAAGATCTATGCAAGACATCGGCTGAAGCCAGCGTTTGTGAATACCCCCACGTTGAAATTGACGTTGAAATTGGCATAATGACTCCATCTTTTTTTTTTTTTTTTCAGCAGAGTTGATGCCACTTAGTGGGGAAGGCTTCATTATGCGGGAGAGAAAAAAAAAGTCTAGGGAGTTATAACAGCAAAACTTTCGCATGGCAGAATTGAAAAACTCTCTGTCCAACTGCTGCTGCCTTCAAATCAATGGCAAGGCTACGGAGCCTCTATTCTAGAACTTTGCTCTCCACAAAGAGAAAGTGTTCTTGTTCTGGTCTGCAAAGTGCGCGACGCACCTTTTTTTTCATCCTGAAAATGTATGCGCAGGCGAACAAGGACAAAGAAAGGAATACAAACTGGCGCAAACTGGCGCACGACTTGCGCCAGTTTGTATTCCTTTCTTTGTCCTTGTTCGCCTGCGCATACATTTTCAGGATGGATAGATTCCAACTAGGCCGAATCGCAGTTTTACCTTTTTTTTGTAGCCTGAAGCTGTATACGCTCTATCCGCACAGCCACGCTGCGCATGCCAGGAAACCTGCTGCACACAAACGAAGTGTGAAAATTCGTTGCCGAGACACTCTTGTCCAACCGCCCGGTTCCCATGCTCCAACGCATGCTCGACCAACTTTTACGCTTAAAACCGGCCATGTTGCTAGCATTCCAGATGGTCAGCAACAGAAATCCAGCTTTGGATGGCGTTGCATGCACGTTGAAAGTGCACGTGATGTGATAGGCGCAATGGCCATGATTGCCCCGTGTTTTTCGCTTTGTTTTTTCTCGTGTATGCTTGTAGGGCGCTATAAGCTGGAGGATTCTGCGTTTGACAAATGGTACCCTGCTTCAAAAGGCACGACTTTCAAATTTTGATCGACGTTGTCCGCGCTCGTAACTATTTAGCATGGTTGTTAAATTTTGTTTTTACTTTTATTGCATCATTATTTTGTAATATAATGGCATGAATTAATGGTTCAATTGTCAACAGCACTGACTATCACACCGAAGTAAAATATCCATCTAAAAGATTTTTTTTTTTCAAGGAACAATGTAGGGGAGGGGGGTCGGTTTATTACGCGAGTGCTTCATTACGCAAGTAAATGCGGTAGTTTTCGTATGTGAAAGCCTCAAGGGTTAACTACGATTTCTCTCATTCCCCTCTTTCCAGTATGGCAGCTCCAGTCGACGGGACTCGTACAACTCTGATGCCACGTCACCCAGAGGTGAGGACCTCTCGCCAGGTTAGGAAAACTTACAGAGGCATTTGTTTTTTCTTCGTACATATTAGTCCGTTTAACGAAATATACTTTCAACTAGAAATGTGTGCATAAGCTGAAACAGCTGGAACTGCGACAGATAATCTGGAAAATGCAAACACAGTTATTGCATTGTGCTACCTATACCTATGCAAGGGAAGAAAGCCAAGAGGACTTAGTTTTTCGTTTTTTAAGCTGTAATTAGGGGGGAGGGATTATTAAAAAGTGTAGTACAACTGAAACAGGACATAAAGTAACAGACAAGCACATTTCTTATTTTCTTGCATTTTCGGTCCTGTGCTTTGGAACAACCAGGAACCAACTCGTTCGAATCAGTTTTGCTGCAAATTAAGGCTTTGTCTCTTGGGATAGATGAGGGCTTAAGTGTTCTCAGATTTGCATTGTGTCTGTGCGTTGCACTTAATGCAGCTTAGCGGGGTTCTCTGGCACCAAGATGCTTGAGAAGCCCTGTTGTAGGTATTTCAAGAGTCCAGCTTTATGATGGCCCTGTGTGTGGGGGACTCTCAGGCGAGGGTGATGGTGCGAGCGGCCTCTCCTCAGAGCTGGAGTGCGCCCGTCCCCAGACGGCGGGCGAGGAGGAGCTCCAGCTCCAGCTGGCCCTGGCCATGAGCAAGGAGGAGGCGGAGCAGGAGGAGCGGCTCCGCAAGCACGACGACCTGCGGCTCCAGATGGCCATCAACGAGTCGCAGCACACGTGAGTCCGCCCCTTTGTCCTTGGCGTTTCTGGCAGGGGAAGTATTGACCGAAAAATGCCATAGCTTCCAGTAACCACTTGCGTAATGGCTGCATCTCTCTGTTGTTGTTTTTCCACGAGATTTTCGATAAAATTCGCTGGGTGCAGCCGTTACCTGGAGAAAGATGCCCATTCTTTTCGGGCCATGTTTTTAGTGCTACAATCAAACCTCAGTATAACAAAGTTGCATCTTAGATGATATTGAGTTTATTGTATCCGAAAATTTGTTATAAAAGCTTATTCCTAACACTGAATCTATTGCAAGACTATGTTTCATTTACTTCGTTATAGCCGATGTTTCGTTATATCCAGATTCATTGTTATAGAGTTTTGAGTGCGGGCAAACATGCTGAAACCTCGATATAACGAACACTGACTGATATAAGAAATTGTGGGTTACAACAAAGTTAATGAAGAATAGTTTTGGAATAGCAATAGTGTTTTAAGTTATCTTTATAATGAATTTTCGGATATAATGAACATGTTTTCATGTAAGATGCAACATTGTTAAAATGAGGTTTGAGTGTATTAAACTGCAGCCCTCAGTTGTTCTAGGAGAAGCAAATAAGGAAAACTTCATTTTTACGTGGTTACAAGATTGATCATCTCATGTCCTCGTCTGCTTTGCTCGCTCGTAGCATCCTCGACCTTTTCTCTGCGCCCGATGGTGTTGTCCTCTGTGTTCCGTCAGATTTATTCGAGATATCAATGGCCTTCAAGATTTCTTCCACTGTCTTAGAGGAAACCCCCCACATCAGCCTTTTAAAATCCACTGGCACACGTCTCCAAGTGATGCCCCTCTTCAGCCTTCTGCTGGGTGTGGTTTCAAGGACGGCAGTACCTCCTCGTAGGCGACCACTGAATCTAGGAGAGAGTTTGTGGATTTGCTTCCTAGAGGCATGAAATTGGCACCCCTCCCCTCGGCGGGGCAAAAACAACAACTTAATTCTCACTGCAGAGCTGATACCAGCCTCCTCAAAATGAGGGGTGTGGTTGCTGCGAAGGTAATTTTTAAATGTATTTTTTTAAAGACAGCCTTTCTTGGGAATCTTTGACGCAAAAGTTTTGGTCTGTCTGTCTGTCTGTCTGTACATTTGTCTGTTTGTTCACTCCTAACGGTATCGGGTAGTTTAAGCGGCACCAGATGATATTTTTCAGGGATTCCCCAATAATGTTTGGTAGCTGCTGTTACGTGGGTGCAGCGATCACTCGAGCACTGTACAGTTGTTTGTGTTTTGGCCTGGTTGGATTTTTTTAAGTTTGGCTTGGGGGGAAGAGGGGGGAGAAGGGGGGAGTTGACACGGTATCACAGCATCCGCAAGTTTTAGGCCAGAGATGTCGGCGGCAGCTTTTTTGCTCTTTACTGTAGTGCTAAACTCATTGCAGCTAGCTGGTTAGAGTCATCTACTTCATGAGCATGACCCATCGTGGTGGTCCAGCAGTATAGGTGCTCGACAGCTCACCTGGAGGTTGTGGAACGAGTCCCAGCCGTGACGGCCACGTTTCAATGGATGCGCAATGCTCAAGGTCCGCCTGCTCAGATTTGGGTGCACGTTGAAAAGCCCAGGTGGTCGAAATATCTGGAGTCTTCCCGCTACGGCATCTCTCGTAATTATATCGTGGTTTTGGGACGTTGAACCTGTACGAAATGTTATGTATTAAAATGCATTTCAGTTGGTTGGTTCGAATCTATGATAGGAATGTGTAAGAGCGTTTTCATAAGCAGGTAAAAAGAAACAGACCATGCGCCGTGTACCCTCAAACCCTAAGAGACACTCATATAAAAAACAAATAAGTATAAGAGACAGCAAGCAATATGGCTACAGTTGACGAGAGAGTACATACGAGGTACCCTGCTTCCAAGAATTGTCTCGTATAAGAGACAAGAATTGCTGCCCATTGCATGCGTCTTATAAAAAGGGTTAAATTGTATTTTTATTTCTACGTTCAGAGATGGTTGTGCTTGTGCATTCTGCCACGGAAGTGGCTGTTTGGATGTGTTGGTAAGGCGTGACACAGCATTTGAGTACATGGATGTGTTGGTAAGGCGTGACACAGCATTTGAGTACATGCTTGGAGGAAGTCTGGAAAGGAGACTGGAGACGCGTCAGCGCCAACTTCCAAGATTCGGAAGCCCTCACAATATGCTAGCCAAGACGGAAAAGAAGAAAAAAAATTGAAACAAAGAAAGAAGAGAGCGAAAAAAATAAGGGAAGGAAGGTATATCTGGCATGTTCTTCTGGCATACAACATTGATTGTTACGCGCTTTGCTCGCATTATCGCCCCGTGCACAGTACTTTCTGGCCATTAACAGTTTGTGGCTGCCGGCGCGACATAGCACTGTTGATGGGAAAGGGGAGCAGGCCCAGTTTTCGAGTAATGAAACACAGGTGAGCCAGGCGAGTCTTATTGGTTGCCTGCAGAAGGTGCACGAAGTGCTCCCATTTGCTTTAGAGTGGAGAAACTGAACGTTAAACCTATCTACGCTGACGATTTCTATATTTTGCCAAAGTTGGGCCGCTTGTTTGTCTATTGCAACACAGCTTTTTAAAATTTTCCTACCTTTTGAAATTTGTATTTTTTGTTCATTGAATCCACAGCTTCTCTCTCGAAATGCACATGCAGTATGTGCTTAGGCACCCGGAACTGTAAGCACATAAACTTTTTTCTTTCAATTAATCTTCTACGTTTTTGGAGACTGAGGGCGCTTTTCGCTCACTCGTCCACTGCGCGTGACCGCCGCGATCGCAGGACCGCGGCCATGCCCAATGGCGGAGCGTCCTCGTCGGGGGCCGGACCGTCTTCGTCCCATCACCAGGCTGGGGCGGCAACGGGCCTGGACGACCTGCTGGGTCTCAACCTGGGGGCCTCGGGGGGACCCAGCGGTGCCGATCCACCGTCGGTGACGGATCCCTGGGGCATGCCACTCTACGATGGCGCGCAGGTCAGTGCTCGTAGATCATGAGCGTGGTAACACAGAGTATGAGAAAAGAGAACTAAGGGTAAACTTGTTTCTGCAGTTTTTTTTCTCCATTACATTAAAGTGGAGCTTAAGGGGGGGCGCGGCAAGTAAAGTGCCGATTTTGGTCAAAATATGCGATTTTCTGATTTATTTTTTTTCGTAATCTTCAGACCTTCAACTTCCTTGTTCTAAAATATTACAGCGAAACGTGCGCTGCAAATCCCGCAAATAGTGTTTTTGCCGAGGCCAGTCGCCGAAAAGTGCGAAAAAAAAGCCCCTGAAACGGTGTTGTTCACGCCGCACAAACGCGCCAAGTTGTTGACTGTGGGCCGCCATTTTGGTAGCTTTGGAAAGAGGAGAAAGCCGGCTTCCCGATGGTCGCGGTCTCGTATTTCGCCGAGTGAAAATAAAAGCGCGAAGAGCAAGTAAAAAAACGAAAACGAAGAACGGCAATTGGCTGCGCGGGTCACGTGGTAGCAGGCGCGACCTCTTACTGGTCAAAGCTGCCCCGCGCACCTTGGCAACCTTGGAAGCGCGAGCGCATCTGCGGCCGCCGTGTCGAGAATCATCCGGCGTGCGCTTCGTTTTTTGCCAGTTTGCTGTTTTTGTGATAGTTCGCGTGCTTTTTTTACCAAGCTTTGTTTACATCGGTGGTCTCTTCTGAGTGCTTGCTCATACTGCGGTGCTATGTTGTCGCAAAAAAAGTTCCGGAGCGTCCACAAGTACGGCAAGCGTCGGAAAGCTTGGAACAAAGGGCAGACGACTGCGGCTGCCGTCCCAGTCGCAGTTCTGGACGGAGCATGCTCTTCAAGCGTCACGGAGCCTCTACTCAGACCCTTCGCTGATTGTTGTGAGGCCGAGAGTGTGGAAGGTGCCACATCGTCGTATGTCAGACCGCCGGATGCCGTCGACCGTGACGGACGCTCTCGCGAACCCGATTGCGGTGGCACCGCGTCGGCAGCCGTTGCAACTCCGGGCGTGCGCGCGTCGAACATTCTATCGCGAGTTTCGGCCCAGATTCCGAGCAGTGAAGAAATCGCGCAGCGGGCGCAGACAAGGCGGGATGTTTTGGATGCCGTAGCATCGAAGTCCGCTTCAAAGCGGAAGCTCGAGCTTCTGAACGAAGGCTGCGACGAAAATGACGGCGGTAAGGACTCCACATTCTTCATTGTAAATAAGAAGATGCTGAACGGTCTGCTTTCGTCAGTAAAGTGCAACAAGTGCGACGAAGGGTCGATACGCCTCGAGACTACGCACTGCCTTGGACTCGCGGCGAGGATGGGACTTTTTTGTGACAATTGTGGCATAGTAAACAGTGCGTGGTCGTCCCCGAGGTGCTCCGGGCAACAAAAAACGAACCCCTTTGAGGTAAACGTGCGTGCTTTGAGGGCTGTGCAGTCAGTTGGCAGAAAACAATCTGCCATAAATGACATTTTTTCTGCGATGGACATTTCGCATCGAGCACTGCACCACAAGTCCTACCAGAGACTGCAAAGGAAGTACAGCCACCCTGCCACCACATCAGCTGCCACCCGCATTGAAGCAGAAAGTGCACAGAAGGTGCATGACATCTACAAGGACCTAGGAGGAGTGCCAGGCAACATTGACGTCATTTACGACGGCACGTGGATGACGAGGGGGCACAGAAGTCATATTGGCGTGGGCTGTGTAATCGAGCTGTACACAGGCTTGGTCTTGGACCACTGTGTCCTGTCCAACTACTGCCAAGGCTGTGCTGTTGGCCCCAAGCCTGGTGACGACAACTATGAGGAGTGGCTTGAGAAACACAAGCCACAGTGCCAAAAGAACACCGATGCTAATGCAGGCCAAATGGAAGTAGAAGCAGCTAGGATCATGTTTGAAAGATCGTTTACCAAGTACAAGCTTCGATACATCAATGTGCTCTGCGACGGTGACAGCCGTACGTACCTTGCCCTCACGCAAGACAAGGTGTATGGCTACATGGTGATTAAGAAACAGGAGTGTGTGAACCATGTGAAAAAAAGAATGGGCACTTCCTTGCACAACCTTCTTGATGAGCACAAATCCAAAGGCCGAGGACTGAGCATGGGTGGCAAAGGCCGGCTGACGCAGGGCCTGATAAAGAAGTTGACGAATTATTATGGCTGGGCCATTAAGAGCCACCCCAACGATGTTCCTGGCATGGAGAGGGCCATCATGGCCACTTATTACCATGTAACATCCACAGACCAGGATCCACACCACGACCTGTGCCCAAGTGGGACTGACTCCTGGTGCCCGCACAATCGGGCATTGGCCAAGGGAGAGCCGCTGCCGCCTCACAAACATAAACTGCCCCCTCACGTGCGAGTGGCACTGCTGCCAATCTACAAGCGCCTCTCGAACAAAGAGCTCCTTGAAAGGTGTGCGCAGGGAAAAACCCAGAACGCTGTGGAGAGTATGAACAGCCTCATTTGGTCACTCCAGTCCAAGAGCCAGTTCGCGTCCCTTCGAAGTGTGGAAAGTGCAGTTGCGGATGCAGTCTGCCGTTTCAATGGTGGCTGCAAGAGTGCGCTGCAAGAGATCACTGCTCAACTGGGCTTCAATCCAGGAGACTGCTCTTTGCGGCGAGCAGCCGAAAAGGATGCCAAAAGGGTAAAGAGGGCTCAAAAGGCGCATTGTTCCACGACAAAGAAGCGCAAAACTGGGTTGCGCTCTACGGAGGCCAAGGCCACAGCATCTCAGGATTACTGCCCAGGAGGATTCTGAGTGTTTTAGGCATGTTGTGAACTTCCAAACAAGAGTGAACTTTCAAAGTCAGTTTTCTCAACTCTTGATTTTCGCCTATGTGCCTTCGCTAGAACATCAGTCATTTTCTAACAAAGACTGATAGAGTCGTTCCGTTTTTTGCACTAGGCTCAGGAGGCCTTTAGCAGTGCAATAAAGCTTTATCTCTCTTCTTACTCATCATTTAAAATTTTTAGAACACATTTTATAATTACTGCGATGTGTGCGCAAAACAACATCCATGTTTTGGAAATTTTATTTATGGTTACAAGAACTAGAAAAATCAACTAATAGCTTCTTTGCACAAGTTGATGCTTTGGGAACATAATAATATGAAAAAATAATTTCATTTAGCAATAATTATCTCTTTAAGTGTGAAGAGCATTAATTAGTATAATTATGCTTGTAACTCAAAAAGTACAAGAGGTATTTGAAAACGGTTTTCATATTTGGAATCCTCACAATCATCCACATACACACACCAAATTTCATCACAAACAGTACATTAATAAAAAAATTAGTTTTACTTGCCACGTCCCCCCTTAAGGGGAGATGCTACTCGAAAAACAATTTTCTTTAATAAGAGTCTGAATTTAACACAAATTGGCATGCTAATAGTTTTTTCTCCTCTTTTCAAATATGTCATTTATTTTCATGTATATTGCTTGGTTTTCTTTCTGCAGGTCAGATACTGCAAAATTATGGCCATTGTTATGCAACAATTCTGACCTATAAAAATTTGAGATACCGTAATTACTCGAATCTAACGCGCGCCTTTTTTCCGGTTAAGCCAGTTCATAAATCGCATGCGCGTTAGAATCGAGTACGAACAAAAAAATTACGGTCAATCTATTGCCATCGGCAAATCCAAAATGGCCGCCCCCTATGTGCGTCGGCATGGCGCGTCGCCCATTTCTGCCTAAGTGTTTCCCATGTGCGGCACTTCGTACGTGCGCTGAGGAGTTCATCTAGTAGTGCATTAGCATCGACGGCGTGGAAGGGCCGGCTCCAAAAACTCGAGTGCACCACGATGCCACTTTTAAAAGAAAAGTCATCGCGTGTGCAGAAACGGGCGGAAATCGGGCCGCATCGCGGTCGTTCGGAGTTCCCGAAACGTGCGTGCGGGACCGGCGGAAACAAAAGCAGAAGATTGTCGACAGCAAAGCTTCACGCAAAGGCTTCAGTGGACCACAGCAGGGTCGGTTTCCGCAAATTAAGAGCTGCTCGGTGAGTAGCTCTTAATGTGCTTGAGCAGCGAGCGGCACAGCGGCCCGTGACAACAGAACTGCTCCAAGTGCAAGCTATGCAATTGGTCTTAGAAAAAGGTCTAATGCGGAGCCAGTTTAAAGGGAGCAGGTGCTGGCTAACTAACTTTATGAAGAGGAAAGCCCTCCGAAGGGGAACATGCATATGCGAAAATTTTTGCGGAGGAGCACGATGAAAAGCTTCACAGTTTTCAGAGGTTCGTTCTGAACTTGGGGCGCAACAACGGCTACATGCTTGGGCAAATTGGGAATGCCGATCAGACGCCTCTTTACTTCGACATGCCTGGCACCACAACCATCGAGAAGAAGGGGGCGAAGCAAGTTCGCGTGCTGACATCGGTCCACGGTAAAACTACAGTGACGGCAATGTTCTGTTACACGTCAGATGGGCACAAGCTTCGCCCGTACCTCATATTTAAATGGAAGACGCTCCCGAAAGAAGTTTTTTTTCGAGTGGTGAGATCGTGCAGGCCCGCGAGAAAAATGGGTGCGCGTTGCAATCGATGTCTTACGTTTTTTTTTTTTTCCCCGCGGTGGAAATCGGGTGCGCGTTACAATCGAGGGCGCGGTAGAATCGAGTAAATACGGTAAAGCATGCAGATATAGCTATGATCCTTTGGAACTGTAGAGTGCAAAAAACTATATAAATTTTGTGTGTAAAAAAATGAAATACAATAATAAAATAGAAAAATTTACTATGGCTCTAGTTGCCAAGGGCTTTCAATGTTATGTAATTTTTGAAAAACATAATCAAGCAGCTCTGACAATCTGAATAGATACTTGCACTCTATGGGCCTTCATCATGCTATGTGCAAAATTTCATAGAGGTATGACAATTCCAAGTATACGAACTAGCGTGTATAAGAAGCACAGATCACACAAAACTGCAAAAGGAGAAAAACGCATTTGAAAGTTTGAAACCTTTTTTCTTTATCACAGAGTTGTTAGAAATGCATAATCTTTGGCCATAATGTTCAACAGAACTTTGAAAAGCACTGCAAGTTACTAGAACTGTCCTGCAGCATAGGTTGCGCCCTCACGGTCCTTGCGAGCACTCTCTTCTAGCCGTGCCCTTTTCACTCCACGACGACGGTGGGCCCTTGCTTCTGCTGTCAGACGCTCGGACATTCTCTTGATGCGCCTCGCATCGCGGGAATCACTGAAAGTAACTAGATCTCTAGATGGCAGTATGTTGAGCTCTTCCAGGATGTGCTCGAAAGTAGCATGACCCTTGTTGAACCACAGGATTGCCATAGCTGCGGCAGTCTCGACAACCGTTCGGGAGACAAACTTAGTCTTGGGGCAAAGTAGCCAAATTTTGCTGTTCAGGGATTCCGATGCGTTCTGGGTTTTCCCTTTGATGCATCGAGCAAGGACCTTCTCATCCGTTAGCCGCTTATAAATGGGCAAAACAGCCAATCCCTGTGCTTTTGTCAGGAGAGGTGTGTGGCGTGGTGCAGGTTCACCAACTGCTTCAGCGCGTTGATGTTTGCACCACAACTCTGTTCCTGCAGGGCAAAACTTGTGGCTGCCAGCATTGTCAGTAGAGCATGAGTGGAAGTACGAAGCCCATACTGCAGTGTACATATCCCGTACACTCCCCCTGTTGCTTGTTATGGCAATCTGATAGTATGTTTGGAGCTTCTGAATGGCTGACTCTTTCATTTTCTGCCCTCGTGGTAATGGCACATGCAGCTTCCGTAGCGCGGTGCCAAGTCTCTTGGCCACATGATTAGTGCAGTCTTCTTTTTCTATATTGACAGCACCATAGACTTTTGACTCTGCAACTGCACTATATGCTTTGCTGTCACCGTCACTCAAGAATGTCATGAAATGCAGTGGGGTGTCATAAGTCAATGTTCTCTGCCAAATGCGCATTGCAGCCTCCGTTTCCATGGCATGGGAGGAACAGTCTGCATTTTTTTCACAGACTGGGCCATGGAATGCCTGCCACACTTCCTCGTCTGGGCTCATATCCTTGTGCCTACTGCATGTCAGGCAGTAATTTGATATGACCTCGAAGTCTAAGCAGAGGCCAGTATCTAAGGAGATAACTGCGCCAATCCCGTTGTGGCTTTTGTGGCCCCTCTTCTGCCAAAAGCCGTCGAACATAACAGCCACATCAGTTTCGCCTGCTACTTCTTTCGTCAAGTCTCTGGATCGGCGCAAGTTTTCACTCACAGCTGCCATGGCAGCGGTGTGCACCTTCTTTGCTATCGAAAAAAATCCTCGGTGGTGCATTGGCTTTGGGAGTCCAATAATGGAGCAAAATCTCGACAATTGCTCATGTCCAATGCCGACAGCGCGTGCAGCCACCACCGCCTTCACATTTACAGCGAAACTATCTCGGGAGCTCCCACTGTCGTACCGTTGGCTCACTCGGCTGCTGCCGTCCGCTGTAACACGCAGTGACGTATAGGAGCACGAAAGAACAGTCGCTGAGCATTCACTGTTTTCGCAATGAAGTTCGAGGAGCGACGAAAGTCCCTTGCGCTTTTCTGCCGGCTCCCGAACGGCAAGTTTTTGAATACCGCAAGCAGGGCATGCCGCACCTGCCACAAGTGCCGTCAGCAAGAGGGTGTCGCACAAAACTGTCGTTGCACAAACCTCATCGCTCTGTCTTTCGTCTTTTTCGAAGAAGCCGAGCTTCTTTTCCGAAGCACTGACGAAAGAAAGCGCAGCGTCAATCCCTTCATCGCAGCCACTGTCGCTCGCGCACTCGTTGATGCCGCCGTCAGGCCTAGCACACGTAGGCGCGTTCTCGTTCGTCGCCGTCGTTCGGGGCGCTTTACGCCGCCTTCTCTTGAACTTGTACTTCGTTCGAAACTTCTGCGGTCTCACGTTGCACTTTTTCGGGCTTGTCATCGCGGAAATATGCGTAGACGCGCAGAAAAGCAGACGGACCAAATGCCGATGGCCGCCACCAACACAGCTGACAATGACTCAGTAGCCAATGGCGATGCGGCTTAGGGTGCCGCGCATTTCAAACCGCCGCTCAAACCACGTGATAAAAAGGCCTCGTTTTTTATTTTTATTTTTTGCCCACTTACGAAACTGGCGGTCGTCGGAGCTGTAAGAAGAAGGCCGGACGCAACTTTCCCAACCGATCGCGATGGCGGGCGGCACTGCGACGGGGAGCAGCGCGCAGTCAAAGATGGCCAATATCGGCGCAAATTCACGAAATTTTGAGCCACCGCGATGCCTTCATACACATTTTTTTGCATTTTGCGGTTCGAATTTAGTTTTGAAATTTTCACTCGCATCTCCCCTTAAATTAAGCTTTTCGTTGTACTGTGTGGCGACGTCTTCTAACTGCCGCCTTCCTATGCCAGCACGAACTTTTTTTCTTCTTCTCGCATGCCTGATTGTTATATTAGAGTTACTTTCTACAAGAAAAGAAGTTTATATATTTGGAAATTTGTTATAAAGGTTACTCCTAACGCTGTCAATTGCAAGGCTATTCTTCAGGTAGTACTTCGTTATAACCGATATTTCGTTATTTTTCGATGGAGGCGAAAATCCTGTAGGCCCGTGTGCTCAGGTTTGGGTGCACGTTAAAGAACCCCAGTTGGTCGAAATTTCCGGAGCCCTCCACAACGGTGTCTCTCATAATCATATGGTGGTTTAGGGACGTTGAACCGCACGTATCAATCAATCGATCAATATTTCGTTATGTTCATGTTTGTTACATTGAGGTTGAGTGTGTTCGTCTTCTGGTTTACTCGCAGAACACGTGCGTCGATTTGTCTAGTGTGGGATACCATAACTTTGATAGGCGAGAGAATTAGTACGCCGAAGAAAGAGGAAATGAAAATGGAAAGAGAATTAAAGAAAGAGAAGGAAATGTGTAGACAGATTGAAAATTTGAAAAAAAAAAAAAAAGGAAGCTATAAACAGAGAGAGAACAAAGGGTTTAAGGAAGGCAGGCATTAAGAGCAAGAGAGAAAAAAAAAGAAATAAACAGGGAGATGGACAGAAATGGAAATAAACAGACGAAGAGAAAAGATGGGACAAAGAGAAAGAGAAACAAAGCAGGCCACCCAGATCTGCACTTCCTTCAGGTGTTGAGCGGGTTATTGTGAAAGTTTTACAGCTTGTGTATCTTTATGTGCTGACTGCAAACATGCTTTTCTTTTAATACAGTACATTTTTTTTTAAATGCTAGGTGGCGATCGCATTGCTATAGCAATGGGGCAGATGCGGCGGATAAGGCGTCTTGAGGCAACCTTAAGACATTTGCTTTTTGTGCGCTTGTTTCGGAAGGGGGAGCAAGCTGGGGCAGCGAGTTTTAACGCGGAGAAATGATCTTTCCAGCTAGCCTGAAACACGCCGTTGCAGAGCTAGAATGTTTTGAAAATCAGCGTTTTTTTTTTTTCTGCACGATTACTGCAATAATTCTCGCCATCTCTGCAGACCCAATGAATTTTTTGAAGCACTTCTACATGGTTTTCAGTTAGATCTTTCGAAATTGGATAAAAGAAAGGCTGCTGAAACTGAACATGTTTTTCAAAAATCATTTTTTTCATATTCCGCTATACGAAAGCCGCCTCCCCCCTTGAGTGAATGAAACCTTAGTATTTATTGTGCGGAAGTCTGATTATTTTGAGTAGCGAAATTTCAGTTTGAATTGAACAGAAAAGCAAACTAGTTTAAAAAGAACTCGGAAGCTGAAATATTCGCTCACTCTTATTTGTATTTACATTTGCTTTTGTACAACTGATACCACTGATAATAAAACTAGTTGCATTTGTCAGGTAGATATCATTATTGTTGATATGTCACTCCCTGTTTATCACTTGCTAATAATTATTTTCATGTTTAATTTTTTCTGTAGTATTGCGATGTTATGTATTGATTTATTGTTAATTAAGCATGTAAGTCATTGCTCACGAAAAATATTTTTTTAATTACCCCACTCATGTAGTCAGGAGGTCCTCCTGTCAGTTTCTCGAAAACTTTGGAACCTTGTGATGAACTATTCTAACCATGTAACTAAAGATTTATTTAATGAACTTGACTTGAATCATTTAACTGAGCTTTGCGCTGCCTTTGCCCTTCCTTTTACATCTCTTTGTGAGCCAGGCTGCAGCTCCAGACCCGTGGTCGTCACCCACGGGCAGTCGGCCAGTCACAGTCGGTCAACCGAGTGACCCCTGGCAGTCGCCAACTTCCAAGCCAGGTAAGCGCTCTTTCAGCTGGGATCCTGTTTGGGGCTGCGTGGGGTGTTCTGCACTTTCTGTCTCCTGCGCGCAGGCTGTGCCACAAAGGCAATTCAAACCGCATAACACTTCAGAACACCATACAGAAATCCGCAAACCTATTTGGTTTTCCATATACCCTCAAAAGATCGTGCAGGTAATTTTTCTGGCTAATAAACCAAAAATGAGCCATCAAAAGCTCATAGCCTCTGTTGCATACTTGTTCCTTATTACAACGAGGGCACCTTCAATAAGGCTGCGTTAATACCAAATGAGGTGAGTTTTCAGAAGTGTTCCCCTCATATGAAAGGGTGCCTTATAGTGTCACGATTAGTTCTAGAATACAGCCGTCACTCCCCCTTGTTTACTCTAAGCCTCCCATGGCCCTTGTGTTGTAGCTCTAAAATGCGTATCTTAGTTGGTCAATCTTATTGTCTGGGACAGCAAATCATGGAGACCCATGGTCAACCAGCCAAGATCCCTGGCGATCGTCAGCAGGTGGGCCCACAACCAACGGAAATGACCTAGACGAGTTTGACACCTTGAGCAAACGGTCGGCCGCTACCAGCCCCATCTCTGGTGGGTGGAACCTTCTCTCTGTACTTTATTTGTATTCTATGTACTGCGCACTGTGTTTGTATCCTATAGTTCATAGTAGAGACCTTACTGGGATCTTACAGGCGGCTTGGCCACGCGCTCCTGCAGTGTAGCTCACACGGAGCTCGATTGTACACCTTGCAGCAACCTAAGACCCTCTAACAGTGGTCAGTGAAAAGTGGTCACTGGGAATAGGCAGACAAGTACGCATTTTACTAGCCGTTATGGGACTTGACGAGCCCCTTAGTCTCTTAGATACTGATTGACCAGTCATCGGTGTGTGGTGCCCGAGTGAAATGGTAAAGTGTAGCCTGAGTTGTAGTTGTAGCCAACACAGTCCATCAGTGCGCGTTCATAATGTGTCCAAAGACACGCACGAGTGAAAATCGTTTTCCTTCTGTTGGTGTATTAACGTTGCATGCACAGGTAGCGGGTTCTCTAAGGCATCTCAAACAATGTGGTGATGTTTGTATTCCTTCTTCGTTCCGTTTGTTTAGTATTCCCATTTTCCTGGTGCGTTTTGAAGTGAACGAAACATTTCTCACTAGTTTTGGTAAGCAAGAACACACGTGCATCATTTTCAACAACCATGCCATGAATGTGGCAAAATGGTAGCATCTCTCTGATATCTCATTGAATCGGTGGCTAAAGTAGGATGCAGTCGTGTGGGCAGGGTCCCTCAGCTGTTGTACAGCATGACGTGAAACGTCTGATTTAGTATATCTCAATCGCTTTGCTGGGCAGCTGTTCAAATAATTGTGCATGTCCATATTACCGATTGACTGCGTGCTTTGCCAAGTTTGCACCTTTTGTCGCAATTCATCGTAGCGGCTCTATAGTAAAATCTCACTTATTATGAATTAATAGTTGTGACGGTATATATGTAAAGCGCATAGTAGGGATGCAAAATGCTTGAACTTATGAAAACTGAAAAAGAGGACATGAAGTGGGCGTGTTAGCACGCAACTTCTGTTCTCTTCTTTTGTCCTCACCTGCTCAAGAGCATTGCATTGTTACTATGTCACATCGCCTAGGCTGAACCTCAACACTGGCTAAAATTCTTCTCAGGTTTATTGTTATGTTATGAATGGCAAGGTTTGGCAGTGCTGATAGTCCAAAGCGGCACGCCTCGGCCAGCAATAGTGCGTACAGTTAACCAAAAGTGTTGTGTGGCTGTCCCGTGACCTCCTTTGTTGTCTCTCACCTGCGTGTTTTCTGTGTTTTATCTCTTCCCTCTCCCTCTTTCCTTTCCCCTTTGTGTCTACCACCGCCGTCCCACACACGCTCGTCAACTTTTCCGTGTGGCGCAAACGTCTCGTCTGCTTCGATCACTGCATTCACCTCCGCCGTTCCACGTCACCGCGGCAACCGTGGCGTCTCGTCACAACGTGCGGTCTCGGCGTTCGGGCGGACGCTGGTGGCTTATACGGGTGACATCACTTCATTTATGTGTTTATACACATACTTTGTACATGTCTTTGTATTGTCTTTGTGTGACTGAATATGTACATCTCGAAATTACTATCATGTGCCATCATCGTACTGCGTTTCAAAACTATTCTTATGTGTACCTGCATGCCATCAATTCAAATTTTGACCCCGTTGTCAACAAAATTCACCGGTGTTTCTGCTACAAACATTTTACAATGTGTGTTCCATGACCCGGAATGTCTTGCCAAAATTATGTGTCGTCTGGTGGGGGTGCATGTTGCTGGCGTGCGCTCGGTTTTTAGAACAAACTGGTGTAGTTGGCGATGCACTGGCATTGGGTGGGTTACGCCGTGCCTTGCCAAGTGCGGAGGAAGACGAACTGAGCAAACGGAAAACGCCGGAGAGCTTCCTAGGTCCCAATTCGAACCTGGTAAACTTGGACGCACTCGTGACAACGCGACCAGCAGGTAAGGCATGCTGTCCGTCAAGGGTGAAGCCAGGTTATGCCAATAACTTCGTTTTGAATTTCAATGGTGGGGTCGGAGAAAGTTTTTCTGCGCGTAATGGAACAAGTTTGTTTTAGTAATAGAGTGAGTGTGGGGGGAGTCCAGCTTTCTACGCTTCTGCTACTAGTGAATTTTAGTTCGAAAGCGAATAGCGATTTTGGTTGAATAATTTTGAATCGAATTCGAATATATGACATATAAAGAAAAATGACCATATATATCATGTCCTAACTAACCTGCAGAATATTTTTTTTGAAATGAGGACTCTATGCAAATGCCTTTTTTCATAAGTGATGCGCAACCTGTGCCAATTGTGCTAAACTGCGCCAACTGGAAATAACTGCGCCATACTGCTCCAGAAGGGTCTTTTTTTGTCTAGTTTGCCCCATTGCTGCACCACAAGGTGGTTTTGGAACCGAAATTAATGTTGACAGCACGCATTGTGAGCACATGTCACATGAAGGTCGTTATCTTGTACACTTGCGCCACTGCAAAAGTACGGAATCGGCCGATCAATTATTCTGACTTTCGCGCAGTTGCGGCGGTGCCTTTTCTCATAACCATTGGCTAAGAACAAAAGCGATGTCGTGACTACTTAAAAGCATGCCTGTATGGCACCCGACGAAAAGCCTGCGTGTGTGGCGTAAACGCCGCTTTAAGCCTACTGCACATTTTTAATAGCTGGCAACTACCTGAGAGCGCTGAGGGGCGGATTGCTGCCGCCTTAAACTCTGTATGTTACCGTATTCAGCGTGCACCGCTTTGCAGAAATGAAAACAGCTTGCTGTCGCGGAGTTAATCATTGTTGAGGCAAATTTGGCCAATGGCAGCGAAAGGCATAAAACTCGCAGGATCTCTAATGCACTTGCCTGAGATGACTGCAAGGGCAAAGGAATCTTTTTTTTTTCCAAGTTGATATGTTCAGGGGTGGAAGTGCTGCACCATTTGTGCCAACCTACTTGGTATTGCCAATCTGAATGGTATGCATTCACGTGCTGTAATACAAAGTTTGGTATTACGACACGTGAATGGATGACAAACGTATGAGACTTGCGCAAAGATTATAAACATGATATGCGTGTCATGTAAACACATGGCTACATGCTACGCTCATGATGCGCTCATCGCCGTTTCGCTAGCTTCACATGTACCGAATTCTGTATTACGTGACGCAAACGGACAACATAGGTAAATGGCACATACCAACATGATAATCACGACATGCATGTTATGTAACAACATGACTACATGCCGCACTCATCATGCTCTTACGGCCGTTTCGCTAGCTTCACATACGCCGGTATTAATAATGCGACGTCAATGGATGACGAAAATATGTGACTGGGGCAAGCATGATAATCATAAGATGCGTGTCATGTGAGAGCATTACTACATGCCAAAGTCAAGGCGCCAATACATTTCGACGTGACTTGGCACGCATGCGCGGCGGCATTCATTTTGTCGCGTCACCCCGGCGTTGCCACGCCAGGCGCCGCTCGCAGGCGCGTGCCGCGCTGTGTTTCTTTGACGCATGCACTTTTCAGCGCATCCGGAGTCCCACCGTCACCAAAAAAAGGCAGTCACAGTGCAATGCATCAACGTGAAATGCAGCATGTCGCGTTGCGTGCCGGTTGCCGTCGGGCTGCGCCAACAGACGCTGGTCGCACCGGTTGCTCCTAGCGTCGGACTAGAGTGCTCTCGTTTTGCTAACGTAGCGTCGCTGTGCCCAGCGTGTGCGCGTCGACGTTACGTTGAAGTTTATTGGGCCCTTCATGATGCACTCGAGGCTGTTTCGCTATATACGTCAAGAAATGACGTCAAATGACGTCAAGTGACGTCAAGAAATGATGAACCCATATGACTGGTGCAAACATGATAATCATGAAACGCGTGTCATGTAAGAACATCACAGCATATCACGCTCACAGCGTGCTCACAGCGGTTTTGCTAGTTTCACATAAACTAAATTTGGCATCACGTGACGTGAATAGATAACGAAGGACAACGGCACATTCAAACAGGATAATCATGACACGGATGTCATGTATGGCATAATTCGCCTCCATCGCGTCATGACGTGGTGATTTTAAAGTGACGTATACCTTCCTCATTTGTGCTTCGCATCTTATTGATTCCCACTGTACGTGTAATCTGTCAATTTTTTCTCTTCCTCCATGCTTGGCTTCTTGTTGACCAAAAGATGTCATGTGATGATGACGTTATCGTGTGACATCGCGTGATGCGACATCATGATGGCGTCACAGATTTTTTCGATCTCTGACATCATGATGATGTCACTTGGTGACATCACGTGATGGCTCTTTTTGATCGCTCGTGTTGACGCCACCAATGTTGTGGGACGTCTGCGTTGCTGGCAGTCAGTTTTCACGTTTGAGGCTTTTTCCTGAAAAAGTCAATTGCAACAGAATTTGCGCAATAGCATGCCTGTACCACTTTGAACGCTGGCATTCACGAGTGCGAGATGTTTACAGAAGACTTTCCATCTGCTGGGCCAGGTACAGTGGGCGTGGCACCGCCCGTTGCTGCGAATCCGTTTGCGGCACCGCTTTCGGCACCGACGACGGGGCTGGTGACACCTGGCGCAGCGGCGGCGGCCAGCAATCCGTTCCAGGCCTCCAAGCCACCCACAATCAACCAGCTGCGACTTCAGAACAACAGCTTTGCGGCAACGCCTGTTGCGCCGGTCGTTCCTGCGACGACTACGACACTCCTGACGCACCCGGCTGCCCTGGTTCCACAGCAACCGCTGGCCCCACATGGCGGTTACGTGGGGATGCCTGCCGGCGCGACAGCAGTGGGCCAGCAGAACCCCTTCCTCTGAAGGCACTCGCAGCAGTAGTGGGGGGTTCTGCTTTTGCACTAGGACTGCGATTAAAAAAAAAAAGCGCGACAGTCGGGCCTGCTGCTGGCTTACCTGGCAGTGTATTGTCCTTGTTAAAAAAAAAAAAAAACATTTTGCGTCACTCTGGAAAACCCCTTATTTCGTCTTAGTTGGTGCGTGTGAAGAGATCCGAGATGGTTTTGCGCATTTAGTGTGGTGATGTTCCATTACATTTCTGTTTCTCCCTCATGGCGCAAACGAAAAGAAAGACGACGTGTCAGCAGTTCCTTCTCATACGTGGCGAGCTGTGAACTATACTTCTTTTACCGTATCGTGCGAAGCCGACCAGACTGATGATCTTGCCTGACCGTCAGACAAGGCACGATGATGCGATGTTTGTGCTTGGGACATCTTTAATGAGGTGTAAAAGTGTACGGTAGAAAGTGAAGGGGCTGGTTATACATCGAGAAGTTTTAATATATATATACACATAACATTATACGGGGAACAGAATTGAGCACGGTTGCAGTTCCCACCCAAGATCTCCGAAAAGGAATAGTCGTGCATGTTAAAATATTTGGAAGTGGTGCTTGTTTTTTCTTCGTACTTGACAGAGCGTCGGTCTTCTTCAGAATGACTGAGCATTTACACGAGATAGGCACATAAATGTGTTGACGGAGCGAGATGTGGGGCATGACATCGTACAAGACTAAGCTCCCTTCCCGCGCCGTCTCATCGATGTGTCGAGCCACTAGAGTGACCCTGTTGGGGGTTCGTGGAATATTGGAAGAAACGAAAAATTTGCATTTCGCAGACTTTCTCCACCATGTGTTTATTTTTCGTGCAGTGTTGGCTGTGAGTAAGCAGGGTCCATGTGTTGGCGAATGTAGTGCCGAGTGTTACACATTGTGTTTTGAGTTGTGGATGGGCCCGACAAGAAGCGAATGAAGATGGCTTTAGTTGCAGAAGGTTGCGCTGCCTCGTTGAGCAAGAAGGGAGTCGCGACTTCTCAATGTCGCCACTCTGCGAAGTTGTCACGAAATACCACTGCGGCAAAACATCTGCTGGTGGTGCTTCCTTACCAAGGCATTGCTCTCGGTGGCCATCACAGCCGTTACATCAAGTGCGAGCGATCCAACGAACGTTGACGCCTCAAGCGTGCACGCTCTGTATTTTAGAAGCTGAAAAAGAACGAGCCAGCTCCTTTGGAGGTGTCTGCATGAGGGAGTTTTTGCAATTGTGGTTTGTGAAGCTCTTCGTGTTTACTCCGAGCCCCATAGGGGCTTGAGTGGGTTACCCTGTGGTACAGGGTAATCCGAATGGCTAATGTCTCCAAAACCATGGTGGGTGACTAAGGTTGATGGTAGCACCTATCCCACCTTTTAAACCTAGTTCCAAGTGTTCCTTGCTTGATGAACGCAGTTTTTGCATGGCCGTGCAGTTTTATCGTACACCATGCGGTTGAAGCTGCATAGGAAGCGAGACCATTTGCTTCCTTACAAGTTCAGTGGTGGAGAACTTGAATAGTCCCGCCTGTTCATTATTTTTTACACTGTGTTAAAAAAAAAACATATTGCACGACATTTTGCGCTTAGACGCGTCTGCTCTCAGCTCGGGGCCATTTGCGAATGTTTTCGTCTACTTGCCATGTCGCATCTTACACTGCGAGCAATGTTGGTTGCTGCATTTCACCCCTAAACTCTGTCTTGCGCGGGCGTACGTACCCGTGCTGGCTGAGGAAATCCAGAGAAGGCTTTTGAAGGGAAAAAAAAAAGAAAAAAAAAATTGATCTGCACGTTTATGGCTATCACTAGTTACGCTTTTCAGTTGAGCACTTTTTACCATACCACTGATATTGCCAGCCTCCTGATGTGTACTGGGGTTGCGCGCGTTTTTTGCAACACAATGAAGCTCGCCGCCGTGACGTATGGACTCTCTGGCGGCAGCAGCGAAAATGAGCGTCGCTCTTTTTGTGTGGGTGTATGGCTGTGTGTAGCCACAGCTTGCTGTGGGGCCGGCTCGTGTCATTTTTTTTTCAAGCATGAATGTACTAGCATAGATCCTTTGTATCACCTGTTCCTAGTTAAAAGAAGATATTCGCACTGAAAGCTGTCCACCATTATCTACATGTCCGACGTGTGGGCTTAGTGTACAAAGCTGCATTGTATCTATTTGCTTTTTACAGGACGGGGGTGGGCTTTGATAGTGCACCTGCATAGGTGAATGTGCCACGCTAAGAACTAACGTTTTTGGGCAGGGTTGGGTCGTTCACGTGAATGTACCGTATGCAGGGGGCACATGCTGGTGTTTGTGTGCTAGCATTTAGAGGTGTTGAATACGTGCTTTTGAAAGCATGATGCGAAGGATTGTAACCTTGTGTAGACTTGTACAAAAGGATGCCCGACGAGGGACGTGTGCGGGTCAGTTTTTTGTGTGGCCGCGTGGGTACGGATGTCGCTGACTCTCCTCGAGAATGTAGTCGCGGAGCCATAGGTGCTCGGCAGCTTGCAGTGTTGGAAAAAAAAAAATGGTGGATGAACAAAGCGTGTGATCTTCCACTTGAATGCAGAACTGTCTTGCATGGTTAATTATCACTATTGGTACGGACGTAAACAAATGCCGTGTTGAGTAAGCCACCCCAATCAGGCAATCGCCGATATGGTTAGAGTGGCCACCGGCATTTGCTAGCACGTTTGCAATCCACTGCTTTTTAGCTTACATCGGCGTTATGGTGTCAATGCAAGAGCCGTTGGTATGCATCATGGAATTCGACATTCCGTCACAACAATCCGTGAAACGTGCATTGCAAGTGTTTTCTTAAATGATGAGTGTTTGTCTAAAATGTGAAAGTGTGCTTTGTTCTAATGAGGGCAGAAAAAAAACTTATGTTAGTGCATGTGGACTTGTTTTTTGCTAATGAAATGAACTACTTCTATTTACAGAGTTTTATTATAGCTTTTATAAATGTAGAGTTGCTAATTGCTTATACTGCAAGTCCTTTGAATGGAAGATGTGTGTCTTATTGCTCCTTTAGTGAAGATGTTTTGTTCTTTGTTTTGAATGTGTGGGCGTGAGTGAATGTACGTTCAAGTGCGTTGCATACTCTTGTTTCGAATGACTGAGAAACGTTGCATGGTATATCTGTTGCAATGCCGGCCAGTGCTAACATTAAAGAAATACGTTGCGGAATGTTCTCTCAGCTGTGGAACGGAAGGGGGGGGGGGAGGAGACGTCTGTTGTGTGTCACTCAAGAGGACTGGTAGGAATGCAGAGATAAAAATAAAACGATGCGCTCTGTTCATTTAGTGTTTGACATGTGCTCTAATATGTCTGTGTCGCAAGCAATGAGTCGCGATTAACTGGGATTCAGTTTTTGGTTATTGATAAACATGTTTGGTGCGTATACACGGCAGGCCAAACGTATATTAACCGAGCTCGTCAACCTAGGTTCAAAAGAAAACTGTTTTGCAAATGGGTAAAATTTCAAACTCGCATCAAACCTCGCCCTAGTAGCACTAAGTAAGTGTTCACACAATGTTGCCGACCTTTAAAAAAAGAAGGCATTGCCAGTGACTTCCAGTGTGCTGAAACCCGCTGGAAGGTGCTGGGAGGTACTACTACTACAACTACTACTACTACTGCTACATAGGAGGGAACGACCCACACTCCTAAGGAGCTTCACCCTTAAAATTAAATTAAAATGGGAGGCTGCGTCCTTAAACGGACGCAGCCTCCCATTGCAGGCTCCGTCCTCACGGCTGCTGAGGCCGCGCAACTAAATCTGCCTATTAGTGGTCGCCACTGACGTAGGCAGGTGCAGAGGGGGGGGCGAGGGGAGCAGGAGGGCGTTGGACCATCCAGTCACCTCGGAGAGGGGTGTAAAGTCAGCCTCGTGCAGTAATATGAAAGGGGAGATGCTGCGACGAACCGTATTGTATTGCGCCTTAAAGTGACTCTGACAATAGTGTGACGTTGGGACGACTCTTCTTCAAGTCGCGAGAGTCGAAGACCACGTGGACAACAGACAACGCAACGTGCAGAGCTCTCAATCGTCTTTAATAGCGGCTTATATGTAGCGGCAGTCGTTGGGCACGCTACCGCTGGCGAGCGCATCTCCGCAGCTTCGGCCGACGAGACGCTTTCGCGTCTGGTACACGACCATGCAACGCGGCTGCAGCTGGCCTGTCGGACCATCGGGGAGGGTGCGATCCGGGTTCCCTCCCATGGCGCAGCCGAGCGCGCAGTGCATCACGAAGAACTGCTGCTTGCTCGACAGATTCGCTCCTGGCAGATGATCGGTGGCCGCCGCACGGCGAACGGCGGCCGTGGTGCGTCCGCTTCTCTGGAAGGCCAAGTAGGCTATCCTGGAAGCCAGCGCTTCGCGAAGGCGCGCCCCGTCGCCTATCTCGCTTTCGTTCAGTCGCCGCTGCTGCCAGGTGTCGTTCTGCAGTGTATAGATGGGCATAAGAGATCACCAGCTCAATATAATGCCGCTACGAGACAATAAGAAAAAATTTGGGCGAGTATGTATGAAGTTGAGTCGTTTACCCACCCCCCCCCCCTCAATGAAAAAGATGCACGTCCCTTTATACTCTCTGAAGGAAAGAAGTGTAGATTTAAGTGCTTGTGTTCTTCGTTAGGCACAATATTAATTGGAACTTAATAAACATGTATCATTGTTATTAATATAAATACCATTTGTTTTGCTGTCTAACAGTCAAGTTGGCAGAGCTGATGACACTATGTGAACGCAGGACTGCTCTTGTCGTTTTCGTCGTCGTGCGAGTCTCTTAGCTTTCTTCGATGGGGTTCATTACAACGAAGTTTATGAGGACTCGCTCGCACTTGTCGTCGTGGTTCGCCATCTACGGCGTTCGCTAAAGCTCACGCGATCGTGCGCGTAGATAAGATTAGGCTAAAGGACAGGGTAGTAAAAGGAATAGAACAAAACGAATTTTCTTGGCGAGGCAGGACTTGGACCCGGGCCGTCATTGTCCGAGGAAGTGTCGCGAAAACCTCTGGACTTTTGCGCATAAACTCGTACAACACGAATTTATTGGAAACGAGAGGGGGTGTTCTCTTTCTGCAGCGAATCACGCGTGGGTCTTTCAGGGATCATTCTCACTTCGAGGTTGTCATCTTCATCGTTCCGAGCTTGTCATGTTTCGTCGAGTGGCCATGGCGCGCCTGTGACGCCGAGCGTTAGCGACCAGACTACGCTGCCGGTCGTTTCGCCGGTGCCAAGACGAGTTTTACGAAGAAATGCGTACGCATACCGCGAGACAGCTAGAGGTTGCATAAAGCACTCTGTGAAAAAAACTTTGCCGAGACTTAGGAGGAAAATTCGATGCCCTACGAAAGGAGTGAGCGTGGCGATGTGATGCTTTTCGTGAAGTGGAACAGGCTGTATGTTTTTGTTATTTGAACTGCCTGTTTATTGGAGATGTGTGCGTTTTTTTTTTTCAATGGGCTAACAAGACCTAGAAAAAAAAAATGACAGCATATCCGCAGGGTGAATGATAGAGAGTCGGCGAAGCTTGTACTGCAGGGTCCTGGCGGCGCCACCGCGCAGAATCACGACTATATAGCTTCTGCCTCCCGCGCGCGCACAGCGGGTCGTCGCTTGGAGCGCGAGCAGCGGCCGCCCTGCGCGCACGCCGCTCTGCAGCCTTGTCCATCCTCCGTCAATGAGCCTTTGTTCTCGCGCGTGCCGAAACGGCGCCGCCAAAGAAGACGCGATAGCAGTGGCGCGATCGTCTTTCTCCTTCCGTACGTGTGACGTAAATCCTGTTTTCATAAAACTTCATATCTTTTCCCACAAAACGCCCTCTAGTGTGAGACGATTTTGCATTTGTCAGCGTATATGGATTCGTTCTATAGTACAAGGGGCGCCATCTATGGCCGGATACGTGTGACGTAAGTCCTGTTTTCATAAAACTCACCTTTTAATATTATCTTTTGCGACGAAACGCCCTCTAGTGTGAGGCGATTTCGCATTTCTACAGTAAAATGGGTGCCATCTATGGCCGCATGGGAGACTCAACGAGCGGTGGTTACTGCGATAACGGGACGATCGGGTGACGCTATAAGGAGCTTCGCCCCTAAAGACTTTGGCGTGGATTGAAATCCAGTTTTACTAGAATGAAAGTACGAGCCTTGTTGTGTCCGGTGTGCAGGCAGTAAATGCTGTCGTCGTCGGCGGCGTCGCTGCTTTCCCAGAAGCTACGCCAGCGCTCTCTTACGGCTGGATCGGCGTGACCTCGCTCGACCAGCGCGTGCGCCAGGGCCCGGGCGACGACCTGGTTTGTGCCGGGATGTTAGATAAGGATATGAATACCGAAAATGTTACCCACGCACGTGGAGAGATGAATATACCGCGCATTTCATAGGATGCAGCGGTGTTACAAATGTACAGCTCGATTATAACGAACACACACATACAAAACGCACATATCAAGTTCATAGACCTATGTACGGGAAGGGGAAAAAGTTTTAATCGAACAATCGAAGCGCCAAGCCTCCTCCATAGCTTTGATCGGTCGTACTTGTCCCGTCATAATCAAGAGTGCTTAGTTATGACTACGCAGGAGATTGACGATAGTGAAAGGTGAGGACACCTGGTATTACCTTCTTAGGAACTGTTCACCTCTCACCAGGAAAGCTGGGAACTAATAGGAGGTCCTTGTACGAAGCACGTCATCGCTTCGTTTTTATTTTTGCATCCGTTGCGAAGCTTGCGTTTCGCAAGCTTCGCAACGAGAATGGCATATTAGAATGGTATATTAGTGCTTACATTAATCTCGCCTCTGCCCTTCTATCCCGCGCACGCCTGAGGTAAAGCAAATGGTTCTATATGGCTTTCGTAGATCTACGCAGACAAGTCTTCCCGCGAAAGCGTTGTGATCAAGTACATAGTTTATATAACGTGACTTGTCATCGATAACTTGGAGGCCTTACATTAATGTTTTGTACATATTCAATGGAGTTGTTATAATTACCGAGCAACTAGGTAACATCACAAGTCTGCCACGTTTTTATCGTTTGTTGTGTTTCTTACGACGTATACGATCTTAAAAAAGAGCTTGCACAGACACTACAATAAATCAATGTACCTCGCGAGGTCACAAAGCTTGGGAAGTTAGAACAAGAAAGCATCCATGGCTTTGAAAGGGCCATGAACCAATCTACGGGCTTGGCGAAATAACGCCCTCTGGGAGCAGTCACTGTTACGAAGAGCTCAGCCAACTCTTGCAGTCGAGGGCGGCATGGGATAGTTACAGGAGGAACACCGAGTTTACGTTTTCTAAAGAGCCCTCTTTTCATATGGACGCCTCACTCTCTACGGAGGTGCCGGCACTATGACGTCGAACAGTGGGCGCATGCCAATAGCAAACATACGCGAAGGCCCATAGCAAACATACACGAAGAGCGACGCTTGGATCAAAATCTCTTCTTCCCCCTGGTTGCCGCCTCATACCGACGCCGCACTCTACTGTTAACATTTCACAATGGTTACACTACCGAGCGCAGGATTTCGCAACGGGAAGGAGCAGTGGCGTTTCGTATCGCACGCTCAAGGTGATGACGCGCCCTGACGTAACTACTTTTTGCCGCGACATCTCTTCCTGTGTAGCTTCCAGCGCGCACGTCGGGACTAGAGGAAAGCAATGAAAGCGATCGACAGATTCCCGAAACCAGGAGCGCCTGTAGGCAGAAATTTCTTTCGGGGTTTCGTGGGAAGGGGGGGGGGGGGTGTCACCTACTGGAATTCGTCATTTTTCGCTCTGCACGCCACGGTGACAAAATTTCGGGAAGGGAGGGAGGGGGGGGGGGGGGGGCTTCGGCTCGTTGGGTTATTCCCTGTTTATGCCACACAATGTAACTGCTCTCTTTCTTGACGGGTCCGAGAAATTTCTTGCGGCTATAAATTGATTGGTGAGGCAATGGACTGTAATATTGAGGTCATCACTTCAAAAAGTGGTCCGGAATACTTTCAAAAATATTGAGGCACCTACGAGTTAAGTAATGAGAATACAGGAAAAGCGCTTGGCTTCCTCATTTCCATCATTTGCACATTCATTTCTCTTTTTTGACCACTATACATGGCTATGCTCGCTTTCTATTCGAGCTATCTCATTTTTGAGTGCGCTGTCTCTTTCTTTCTGTCTGTGTCTTCCTATCTTTCCCTCTTTCTTCTCTTTCTTTCTATTTCTTTTTCCATCTCTCCTTCTCTCTTGGTGTACGTTCTCGCGACCGTCAGAGTTATTGCATCCCACGCCGGACAAATAGGCGTGCTCGTTC